TGTTGCGGCCGGTGTAATGCGCGTGTCAACCTCTCGTGCATCGAATTGAAAATTAAAACGGGCGTGTGCAGCAATTTCAATCTGTCAACTCTTGCAGTCCGGCGAACCTTAGCCTTTCAAATAAAACGTGACGGTAACTTATAAAGTAACACACGAGGTACCATCTCTTCTTCGTTGATTCACCGGGAACTGTGTAAACGATCGGCGATGGTCCAGCTTCCGGTTTGAATATTCATACACGAGGGTAATCGACGCCTCGTAGATTTATATTCATGAAAATTCCAAAACGTCACACTTAAGATTTTCCGTCTCTAACCCATTGAAAACAGAGCTTCTCCCCGGAGAAGAAAAACTTGGAATTGTTTCGTCGTTCTTCGTCCGTGAATCTTTCCTGGAAACTATGAATCACTTTTACCAAGCACTTTTCGAATGTGAAAAGTTTGAAAAGAGGTGGATTTATTCGATGAAATAGGACAGACGGGAAAATTGCGCGAGCGTGCTTGTTTGCCAGGAAATTAGGGAAACTCAATTTACTCGCCGTGTAGGAGCGTTGCGCCGCGCCGCGCCAATGAGCGTCGTGTAATTTAACGGCGCGGTGTGTCGCGGGACGCGATGAAAAGGAAACAAGTTGCCGAACGCATTTTCGACCATTTCACGAGTTGTCGCTGTGTTGTTAATCCTTCATTCGTCGTGGCAAACGGTGCCTGGCTCATTTCTGATCCGTACTAACGAGAAGAGTTACAGTGTCTGTCATATCAAGCGGCCCATTCCGAAACAAGAAAAGTCCAATTTATACTAATTCTATATCATTTTTTTTCTGTTCCAGTACGTGTTCGTGGTGATGCTAGTGTTCGTCCTAGAAGCGGGCGTCGGTGCACTAGCACGTCTCTACGAGGAACAAGTCGGTCCCGAGTTGAAGATGAATCTTAATCATACGTTTCTGGAACACTATTCGGTGAGGAGCAGGGAAACTTACGCGATCGACCAGATGCAAAGAGAGGTAAGTATCGATAAAAGATAAAACAGGATTTCCAGCAATTTCAATTTTTCAAACTTCTTTATCGCCGTTGTTCTCGCAAACTTGATTAGTTGATTTTAGTTTCAATTGAAAAACCGAAAGTTAGTTTACATGTTTAACGCGTTAATTGCCTAGAGGTTCACCGGTATTATAATCGAATAATTAACCTTTAAATGATCAAGCTGGATCAGTCGTGTCCTGAGCTTATGAAATATACCCAATGGGGAAGAGAGTAAAATTAAATTTATGAAGGCATTTTTATTTCGTCCCCTTCTTTACAAAATCAACCCTGATGAAGTTCCTCTAAAGTAATTAGCAGAACGTAACGTGTTAAATGGATGACATTAATCAAGATATCTGCTCGCAAGTACGATCTTGCTGAAACATTTCTTCTTTTTCACGGTATCCGTTACGTGCAAAAGACGTCGTTAAATTTCGTTCTGCGCGAAATGGCTACCTTACGTGGCCGCGATATCTCTTCGCCATTTTTCATTGCGCTATACCTAGACCAGCGGTGCCGTTGTTACGAGTACTTTACGACGGCAAATCATCGTTATCGCAGTTGCAGAAAGATTCTGACTCCTACACGAATCGATTAATGCCTCCGCGGCTCTTTTCATCGATTCCTTTTCTCCTCTCGTGTCGTCCACGTTCGAGGAACCTTGATGCACCTCTCGAGGTGCATCGAGTGCATCCACTCAACGCGCTCGATGTTTATCCTGGCTGCTGTGACAGAGATTTCTCTTTGGATCGTTTGAATCTTTCTTGCTTTCGTTCGTGCCAAGAAAATCATCACAGTGTTGATTAATCGTCTTCAACTAGACCAAGAATTTCTATTTACACTGATTCATCGTTTTCAAAATAATACGAAAGCTTCAACTGGTGCCGCGTAATTGAATTTTTACTGAACGTCCTTTTTTACTAACTGCAAATGGAATTCTCTAGGAGACCTGTTTTCTCGTTGAATTTCTAGTTCAAATGCTGCGGAGCCCTGAGATTCGAGGACTGGCTGGTGAGCGAGTGGCACAAGGACGAGGAAGTCCTTCAGGACGGCAGGCTTGTTCCTGATAGCTGTTGCAAAACAGAGACGTTCCACTGCGGGAAGAGGGATCACCCGTCGAACATCCATTACACGGTATTTAGTGATTCTCTTAACACTTTGATGGCCGAAAGTTTCGTGAAATTTATGGGCATTTTATTTTTCTTTATGAATGTTCTGTTCAAATGTTAATTTATCGAAGAATAATAGTTATTCTAAGAAGATTTTAAAACAGCACGATCTATCCGCTGCACCACTGTCAGCTTAACCCTTTCGCTGCCACGGTAGTCCCATGGGACCGGCGCTTGTCTTTTCATTTGGACCATGGTGGTCACCGGTAACCACCACTAATTGTAAGAAAAATGTGCTATTGGTAAGATTGTACCGTTATCTTAATATATTTCGCAGTTCTATGCCATTATAAAATTTTTAATATAAAATTTGTGGCCCACTGGTGCAAGTTCAAAAATTCGCATAGCAGTGAAAGGGTTAATGTCATTTCTACCTGCATGCATAGATTCTCTCGTCAAACGTAGAGATCCTTCAAGCGTAGAAATTAGTTAGCTAGTCAAAATCAATTTGTTTAGGGTTGCATCTACAAGTTCCTGGAAACAACAAAGGACCATTTAATTATCTTGGGCGCAGTGGGGCTTGGCCTGTCGGTGCTTGAATTATTCGGTATCGTGTTGGGATCCTGCCTTTATATCAAGCTCAGACATGACTTCGATGACTGAGAATTGCTTGAAATTCGCGAAAGCAACAACAACGGCCGTTCCTGGTGCAGATACATGCAGAACGACGCCGGAACCGTTTGATCGTCGGGGCGGAAGCGAAGAGGAGCGGCCATCCAAAGGGATCCCCGTCTTCCGTCGTTCGCCATTCAGCATTTCCTACGTTTCTGACGCTCTTCTGCAGCCTCTCACAAAGGGAGACTGTAGCATTCCTGCCCGATTTCTTTTCCTTTCACCAAATGTACAGGGTGTGGTTAAAGGAACGCAATACAAGTGGCCAGAGGGTGCCAGTTCGATATTAAAATTTTAATATTCAACATTTTTTAATATTCTACAATTTTTTATATCAGGGTGAAATGTGTTTCGATTTGTTATATACCCTCCAAAAAGGTATCGCTCTCTGCCCATTTCTACCACGTTCTTCGCGCCAACCTGTATAAGGGTTCCAAGGGAAAGAAACAGTTGTTAGCAAGAAAATAAAAGAGGAGATCGTGCGTGAATTGAAGCCGCCACCGCAACGATTATTCCTACAATGGAAACGTTCAAAGGGTCTCCCTTTCTTTCCTGACTTTCTTGCTATGCAGGAATCAAAGAGAGGTACGAGTTAACAAGCGAAAAGAAGAAACTAGAGCCAAGTTACCGAGATATTGAGATTCGATGAGAAACAGGGATGAATGGAAACCAGTTTCTCACTCGTCGTTCAAACGAACACAGGACTTCCTTCTTTCGTCTCTTTGATCGGTCGAGGAAAAGCAGAGAGATGCTGAAAAGTCTTCGAATGAATCTCAATGAATCCTTGACCACTGCCCAAAAAGAAAGGAACACCTCTATTGTCCCTATGTAATTGTACCCATGACGATTTTAGAGAAAACGTTTTAACGAAGATCCTTTTTGATCGATTCAAGGAGAGCACGTATGCTCCTCATCACGGTTGGGCATCAAAGATCCAAAGTATCTTCTTTCGTTTAGAAGGAAGAAAGATTTCTTCTAATCGAACATCGATTATAATGTTCGTCATTCGCGACAGATGATCTCTGCTATGTTAAACATATTCAGTTTCACTGTTAGCGAAATCCCTCCCGTACAAATCGCGCTGTCTCTTTGTATACTGCCGTTACGAATCCGCACAAATGTTTCTAAAGGTATATTTCATCGTACAGGCTGAAGTATTTATCCACCTGAGATGTTATTTTTTAGAAATGCGAAGAAATATTGCTTAGGACAGTTGTAAGCTATAATTTAATTAACCCGCTTTTCTATAGTAGCGACGTGTAACGGTGAATTGAAGAACTACTGTAAGCATATTTTTGAGCTCCCTATCGGCGAAATCGAACAGGTCCTTTTTAGCGCCAAACAGTAAGTGGCGCCACGTATTTTCGGCGGATTTTTTAAAATAAAAATACCTTTTTTCACCCCTTTCTGGCTGTGCCGTCAGCACAGTATTCTTTCGTATTTCCAAAAAAATATCATAGGTGAAGGAATTACTTCTCCACTCTGTATGCGAGAAATGAAATTAGCGTTCTTAGCTAATAAAATTACGACGTTCCAGTGGTCAAAGCACACCGCTATTCCTTCGGGACAAGCAGACCCTGTTTGTCGATAAAATGGACCACTCAGTCGTCCTGATTTTTCATGAAAAATTGAAAAAGGAAAAAAGAATAGCTAGGTGTAGCTACGAGAATCTTTTTTTATAATTTATTCGACAAAACGACGATGAATCTTATAGGTCGTTCGTCGTACAATTCAAGGACGCGTGTCGAAGATTTTAAACGATAAAAGAAAATGTAACATTGATAGAGTTGAACTCGAACAGAACTGTAAAAACAGTGCCTTGATGAATAGCGTTAAGTTGAGAGATATTTTAAATTATCTACGGTGTAAAGAGAGAGGATGCGTTAGTGTTGTAAATGTACGTACAGTATTTATCTATTTATCTGTTGCTTCGCCGATCGACACAAGCCTTTCGCGCATTATTTATAAACAATCGCTACGTTTGTCGTACAACGAATGGAATGAAAAAAGCGTGTGAGTTGTATCGACGATTGCACGTGTATTGCATGTACAAATTCCAGAATCACGTGATTCTCTGTTAATTATATCTTTAGTCTTTCGTCAATTCTTGCTTTAACGCAATCGTCGAATCAATGTTACACACGAGACAAAGTTTATAAGATACATATTTTACTATCACGCCAAGGCGTTATACACGTTATTTTATTCTTAACGTTATTGTCTTCTTTATTGGTATCACGTGTACATGTACTGTCTGTTAGTGTTTAGAAACTTTATAAATATTGTACATATCAGACACCCTATTCTGTTACGAATAAAATTATTGAAATCGTATTTCCTGATTCGAATGAAGAAGAAGAAAAAAGAGGATTGTATAAAAATAATAAAATAATTCCTTTTATTGGCTGGATGACTCGACGTCGTTCGCATACTTTTCCATGGATAGTAAGTAAATAAGAAACGCGTCGTCTTTGGTACCAAGAGAAACGAACAACCATGAGAATACCGCAAACAAATCTTTCGACATAGATATCTTCTGCCAACTGTGTAAATCGTCCAGAACGGTCTGAACGTCGGTGACCTAAAATGAAATTGCTCAACGTTGGAGGATGATATTTTACGTGGAAATACTTTATTTCTGCTCACGTTTTCCAAGAGGCTGTCGTTTGAATTGCGATAGCGTGCCAAGCTCAGTTGATTGTCGATCTTCAAGGAGACTTGATGAAGACAGAAGGTAATTAAATATAAAGGCACAGCGATAACAGCTTTGTTGTAATCGAGATAGATTTCACGCAGATGTTCCACGTCGAATCGAGCCAGGTCGAATCTAAAGATTCATCAACATTAATAGCTCTCTTTTTAATAATTTGATTTTCATACAAAACACAGTCATACTTATCGAAACTGGACACGATGCTCAAAGTGACAAGGAGAGAAAAGATACTAGAATAAATCTCGCTGATCATCGAGTACTCAGCAACGAATTCCATGGAAGTATCAAAAAATATATGCAACTGAAATACAAACAATATTATATAATAAAAAGAAACGAGCATTTGAAGGAAATTAAAATTGAAGATGTACCATTATAAAATGCATGAGAGCCATACCACCTAGGAGACCTTGATACACAAGCCCGGTCTTCTTCCAAAACTTTTGAATCAGAACAGCTATTCTTATAGGTGGAGAACTTTGATTCTCAGGGATATCTATGTCTCTTACTGTGCCTTCTTTGTCTCTATCTCGAGATTCTTTTGACTGATTGATTTTCATAGCACTGAAACCATCTCTATATTGCACGTAAATCTTATCCGTTGTCAGTACCGGAAACGGTGGTTGTTGCTCGTATTTCGTCCGAGCGTTTTCTTGGGATCGCCTCAGGATCTCCGTAATTGGTAATTCGTTATCTTCTGCAACCAGCATTGGATCAGAATTGTTAATAATTTAAATTTGAATATGTTAATCGTTTCACACATTTTTACCTCGAAATCCTCGTCTCTTTCGTTTGGAACATTCTGCATCCCCTTCGCCATTATCCTTCTCAGACGATTCCGAGGTAGCAGTTTCCTTCTGCTTTTCATTTTCCAACTCCTCAGACTGTCTGTCGTGTTTTCGTTTCCCACGACGATCGTATCTTCCTTTCTTCGCTCTTTCGCGGTTATCCTGATGCTTTCCTCGAGCTACTTTGTGTCTTTGCAATCTCGTTTCATCCGAGGACGTCGTTTCTATATCTTCAACCTTTCCTCGGGCATGTCGCGTTTGCGGAGACCTGTTGATTTCTTCTAAATCCGACCACCTGTTTCTTAAAGGTGTGCTGGTACTTTTCACAGGTGGTGAATACTCGATATCATTGGTAGGCGACGAAGATTCACCACTACTGGTTGAATCCTTTCTCTTAGAAGTCGTATCAAGGGTACTCCATCGTCGGGAGAGCCTTTCGCGAGGACGACTCATTTTACAGCCTCACAGATCATGTAAAAACGTTTAATTTTTTCTGAATCACAATTAAACCATATCATATTTAACACATACACGCTGTACAATGTATTTGGTGATACGGGAAGCTCTAGACAGCTCTGTCATGCATAAATAGAGGAAAGTATCCATAGTAACGCTTTGTTGTCAGTTTGATTCACTTATCGTGAGGGTGAGTATTTCTGAGAAATCGATAATTCGTAATATGTAATATAGAACACTAACAATTAAGACGCTAATCGTCTTTACCTAATTGCATTTGTTATAATTAAATTTGTGTTATGTATTCATGGGATTAAAAAAGGAACTGAACAATCATTTTATAAATAGGACATCCGAACTTGTTTGTTTTATTTTTCTTTTCGATCTATAAATGAAAACACATGTGCTATACCTATCGTATATAAATAATAAGCTTGACGGTGCTATATATATATATATATATTAAACAGTATTTACATCGTGTATCGCATTTACTTTCGTACTTCGTACGAAGTATTTACAGGATTTCCAAGTCGCAATGTCGAATCTCTGGATGATTCTTCTACAATATTTGAAAAAAAGAAGAAAATAGAAATGTTAATAAGTAATTAGATATCCATACGTTTTAAGTAGAAAACTTTACGAAACCTTTAATTTTAGCTCCATTCTGTCTACTTCTCCACCGACTGTATCAACGATACCTTCGCCATGTTTCAACATAAACCCTTCCAATTCATCAATGTTTTCCATTCGTTGTACTTCCTAAAGGTAAAAAGATTTGAATAATAATGTTCTATTTTTTAATCTTATTTTAGTACCTTTAACATCTCGTTGAGATCGTTCTTATCGAGGTACGATCTTGTCAATTCTCTGCCATCGAAATCAATTTCGGCTTTATATCGAACTACATTATTGCCCATATCAATACCTTTAACGTCGTGAATTGCTCGAACCTATCATAATATGCGATATAACCTAATGTATAATCAATTTATGAAAACATCCGTTTTCATAATGACGATAATGTGACCACAAAAACATTACCATTATGTCTGACTCTAACTCCGCATTGATCTTATCAAGGTCATCTTGAGATATACTTCTTCCAATTAAAGCGGTCGCGTTTGTATGAATTATAAACATTGCCACTGCGCCAAGAAGGCCACCCACTAAAAGAGATCCAACGGAGTCATACACTGGATTTTCTAGCCAGGAAGTTAGACCCATACAACTAGCAGCACAAATAAGGCCAAGTACCTATCGAGTTTAAAGCGGTGTTTAATTTTTAATAAGACCATTTCGTTTGTTTGCTAAATACATACAGCGGCGAAATCTTCCATAAGGACGACGTTTACTGAAGGATCTTGCCCTCCTAATACATATTCCTTAAATGTTTGTCGCTTCTCCTCTGCTCCTTTTTTAATTGATTGTATTGCTACTAATAATGTCGCTCCCTCAGATACCAAGGAACCGGCTAAGAGAACATATGCCCAATAGAAGGACTCTACTGCCGAAGGATGAAGAAGACCATGAATTCCATGGTAAATTGATAAACCAGTACCCACACAAAAGATACCAACACCAGATATCAAAGAAGAAACGTATCTCATATTAGTGTAACCATATGGGTGATCAGGATTAGGATCCTGAAATGTTTTGTATGAATATTAGCATGGCAGATACCTTTGTTTTTTTTTTTTTTTAATTCACTTGTATTTGTATGTACCTGTACTGACTTATGGATACCGTACGCTAATATTAATTGATTGCAAGTATCCGCGGCAGAGTGCACACATTCCGAAAACATACTATGCGACCCGGTGTATATCCATGCACATAACTTGAATACGAAATTACTGCCATTGCTTAAACGGATTTAAAGATTGATTTAAGTATGCTGAAAACAATGTTTCTTCAGAGAAATACCGAAAATAAAACTTACATTAGACTCGCAATTAAAACGACAGTACCAGATCTTCCAAAAAGGCCCTCTTTTTGCACAAACTCGGTTTTACTGCCCATTTCTCGTCTGTAATCTCGGAGCCTTCGCTTAACAGTAAATATATCTGCAAAACAATAAAGATTAACCCTTTGACTGCTGGGGATTCTATGCCTGGGGGTTCTGTGTGTACGAAATAAGAATCAAGATAATAACACTTATTACTTTTCTTTTTATTCCATTTCATTTCTCAGTTTATTTTTTCATTTGTTTTTCTTTTTCAGTGTTTTGTCATATCATTAGAATGTGATAACATATGGTGTGTAATTAGTAATATGCGTTGCTAACTTTTATTTAATTATAATTAATATGTACAAGAAATAATCTATGAACGCAGATACGCGTCCATAGTCTGCACCGATAGCTTTCATCGGACGCATATGTGCGTCCATAGCAGTCAAAGGATTAAAGCAAAAATTGTATTTTATGTAACAGAAAGTAATTATTTACTTTGTTGGTAAGCCTTTTGTTCCAGTTCTTTTTTAAGGAGCTCTTTCTTTAAGGCTTCCTTTGATCCCCAAACTTCCAATGCTCTAAAATAAAATGAAATGTATTGAGCATTGCTATAAATGTTCATCTCATCGCATTTTATTTAAAGTGCTTTACTTTGCCTCAACATCTTTTCTCCAATATACAGTAATTGGTGGTTCAAATTCATATGGAGATCTTCTTTTAGTCTTTGGTAAGTTTTCAAGATCAGAAGGTTTTAGTAAAAAATCACACATAGCTCTAACAGGTGTGATAAAGTTACGTTCTAAGGAAGATACACTTTTATCCATCTTACTTCTCTTTTTACCTAATATCAAAAAATGTTTACAATCATGAACAATTAAACAATTAATAAAAAGAATCAAACATTTGTTATCATAAGACTGCTTGTACCTGATGCTTGTTTTTCTTTTTTATTCTGATTATCACCCACAGAAGTAGATTTAACATCTAATTTTCTCTCCTTCAATTGTCCTAAGTTTTCTTCTTTTAATTCTATTATTGTTTGTTGCGCTTCATCCTCTGGCTTATTTATGTTTCCTGATTGTTCTTTTTGTACTTTTGTGAATATAGAAATTGACCTTGGCATTGCAGCAAGTATCCATCTCATTTCCTCTGGATACCCTATTTTGTTGGTAAAAACCTTCTGAGAATTTGCAGTGATATGTAACTTGCACTTTGCACCATAGTTACACTTTATCAAAGTGCTGCTATGCCTCCTTGTATACCCTACTTGAAAAACGTACAAATAGTCTTTACTATGACTGCTAATATTTTGAAGAAATCTCCGAAGATTAGGAGTTCTGTGTAACATTTTTCAGTGCTTTGTTACCGTTAGGTAAGTAGGAGGGCACAATGTTAATAGGACCTCTGAACCGCCTAACCTATCCAAAAATAAACATCATTTAAGTATTTCAGTAAATAATAGGTATTTCTTGGATATTCTTCAAATCGACATTTCTCAAATGAAATAAAAAATTTGAACTACTATCAAACAAATGTATTTTTTTATAAAGATATACAAGTTTACCCGCACAGTATACCGCGAAAAATTTCTTTACCTTCTTTATTATCCGTTTAGCTTATAAAATAGAATACATTGTCAGTACAATTGAAACCTAAATACTATCTAGTATTAAATTGTACCATAAAATATATTTTAATAATTTTTCGAGCTGTCAAAATGCTCAAATACGTACAGTCTCGTCAGTGACTACAGATGTAGAAGACTGAACATGCCTTTGTTTTCAGGGGGTCATGATTTAGGGGCTCCCAGACACCCTCAGATGATCTGCATGCGAAGAGCACAACCAGTATGATAATCGTGCCTGTTTCACCAGTCACTCTTTTACCGCACCTCAAACTGACATCGGAAAAGACCCAATTTTCACTCCCTTTGATTCTATCTTTTTTTTAAATCAGTCAAAAGCAGCACAAAACTGAACAATTATTATTGTAATTGTTTGACAAACTTGTATTCACTTCATGCATTTTGGTAAATAAATCATTTGAAATAAGCAACTAAGTTATTACTTAATTTACCGAATGTCATTTCTAAGTTATTTATTTAAAATCCTCGTAATTTCTCTTCTTAGCTATTTATTTGATTGACTTAAATTCTTCTATCATTTTAAGCTCATCAAAGAGGAATAATTTATGATTTTATAATCTTATTTATTCTATTCCTACTCTTTATGGACCAAGGCTTCCCTCGGCAGTTATTTATTCTTTTCATTCTTTTCATAGACCTCGCAAGGACTACTCCCAAATCATTGTATCCTCGTATCCTTTGTTTCCCTGCATCCCTTACATCCCAGCACTTCTTATATCCCTGCATTCCTTACATCACGACATCCCTTATATTCCTGTATCTTTATTCCCCTACATTAATTAGTTCCCTTTTTTACCGCTAGAGAGCGCTGATTCGAGATCGACATTTTAGTTCAAATTTTTGCCGATAGAGGGCCAAAATTGTTGCAAGCTTTAGTTCCATTTTCTACCGCCAGAGGGCGCTGATTCGACGTCGACATTTTAGTTCAAATTTTCACCGCTAGGTGGCCAAAATGGTTGCAAGCTTTAGTTCCATTTTCTACCGCCAGAGGGCGCTGATTCGACGTCGACATTTTAGTTCAAATTTTTGCCGCCAGGGGGCCAAATTTTCTGCGAGCTATAGTTCCCTTTTCTGCCACCAGGGGGCGCTGATTCGGCGTCGACATTTTAGTTCAAATTTTGCCGCCAGAAGGCCAAAATTTCTGCGAGCTTTAATTCCCTTTTCTACCGCCAGAAGGCGCTGTGACGAACACCGAAAGCGTGATTTCGAGTATGTAAGTGATAGCGTGATGTAAGGCATACGGAGATGTGAGGGACGCAGGTATGTAAGGGTAATAGAGGCGTAAAGGATGCAAAGATATAAAGAAAGCAGAGATGTAAAGGATGCAGTGATGTAAGGAATGCTGGGATGTAAATACTGCAGAATCAGGGATGTAAAGGATGCACACGGGAGTAATAAAATCAACATGTTGGTCCTCTTAATGAGTTTATTCAATAAGCTAAGAAGATAAATACAGCAAATTAAATGAACGCAGAAAATATAATACGGATATATGCATGTTTAGCAGGTAGATCTGCACCCCTCGTCGGTCGCTTTAAGACTGATGCTTCGCTCTACGTTGAAAGATTGATAACGGTGCCGCAGCCAGTACGTTTGCTCGAATTAATGGCTGTAAATGTTTTTTTTTTTTAACGTAGGGAAATCTTGCATATGACCCCCACACCGACCCCTGGGGGTGGGCGGTGGGGTAGTGTGAGATTCCTACTTACTAAAACCCCACGGCAACCGACATTGGCAGTAAAGAAAGGTCTGGAACCTTATTTACTTCGGAGTCCTTCACGCCTACCACATTGGTACCCTACCACATTGGTACCCATCTGTGGTGCCTGGCATGTGGCCGATACCGGGGGTCGCACCCTGTGTCGACTTTTACTCGAGCCGCGTGCAAAGGCGTCTGGCACCCCCACTCCCGACGCCAGTGGCCCCCTTTTCAAAGCACAAAGTTTAAGTTTAAACAAATTCACGACCCTTTGAAAACAAAGGCATGTCCATAGTCTTCTACTACAAATCTGTAGTCACTGGTCCCGTACTACCAGTGACTACAGATACAACAAGACCGGACATGCCTTTGCTCACAAAGGATATTAATCGTTCGGGATCCAGACAAACCCAGATGCAGTGTGGCATCTATCGAAGAACAACGGAAGTAATGGGGCAAAATATAGACTGCTGAAGGACCAATCGTAAATGGGTAACTTCCGTAAACACCGATGCCACCGACGAGATACTGTCTGTGACGAGAGCCAACTAAAGACTGCTATCCTTATGGGAGTTTGTCTTCAGAAAAATTTCACCGTTTTCTTACGCCTTCTAGAATATATTGCGGCCGCATTAAGAAACAGAACCCGAATCAGTAAATATGCCGGTAAGATATTCTCGGGAGTCTGTCGTCGGTGGTAATAGAGTATATTCGTTGGTATTGATGCAATCTAAGTATTTACTTGCCGACTTGTCGATCGATCGTTCTGCAGTTGGCTGTCTAATACACCAACAGCCCTAACTCTTTTAAAATGTCTGATCTATCCTTTATCTCGTCTATGGTGATATATTTTTGAGATGTGTGTATCTCATATTTGTCAAACGAAGATTAGAAAGTGCATAGTAAATAATAATGGATGGAAATCAGACAAATGCCAGTGATTCTCAGTTTATTTCCTTCCAAGATTTTCCATCGATAAATCATGGAGAAAATGCTGGACAGGCACAATTAAATATTAATGCTTCCACTCATCAAGGTTTTAATAACCTATCAAATGATCCTGCTGGAATCGGCATTATGGAAGATCTTCAGGGAATGCCTGATAAAACTGAAGGTTTATGCTTTTATAATGTTTATGATAGTTTTAAGTAGATTGTTACATTTGAAATATAGAAGATATTCAGTGTTTATGCACTTTTTCAGAACCATATTTTTTCCTGTTTTAGCCACATCACCACCTAACTTTTGGACCATTGAATATTATCAACAGTTTTTCAATGTTAATACAAAAGATGTAGTGGAAAGAATTAAAAGGTCTATGTTTCCATATGGAAGTGATAATTATTTGACAACTCACATAAGACCAAAACCAGACTTATATGGTCCATTCTGGATTTGTATCACCTTGGTATTTTCCATAGCTATAAATGGAAATCTGGCTAATTACTTGCAAACAGCTAATTCAAGCAAATATCACTGGAGGTATGACTTTCACATTGTATCTAAGGCTGCAAGTTGCATATTTTTATATGCATGGTTGTTGCCATTAACATTATGGGGTGCATTGAAATGGACCACTAGCACAAGGGATACGGAGGAAGAGTTAATTGAGGTTTGATATGTTACTCTATCTTTTTGAAAGGTACTTTATGATTATCAAACTAAATTTTCATTTTAGTCTTACTCAACACTTAGTCTCTTGGAGCTTTTATGTCTTTATGGTTATTCCTTAGCCATCTACATTCCAGTAGCTTTCCTATGGACTATACAAATTGAATGGTTTCAGTGGAGTTTGGTTGTAATAGCAACTTTCCTATCTGGTGGAGTATTATTGAGATCTTTGTTACCAATAATAGAAGGTATGAATTTATTGAAACTCTAAGAACCTTGTGAAAACAAGGAAAATGCATTAATGAAACAAATGAATTTTTAGGGAGGTACAGATTAATATATATCGCGATAATTCTTGGAATGCATCTGTTAATGGCAGGGTTTATGCTATATTTCTTTCACGCGCCATCAACGAGCGACACTGTGACTGCAAAAAAACTAGAGGCGACGACTGTTCGCATAAACGAAGTGTTGAAGCAGACTTTACATCCTACTTCTGTCGACTAACATATACGTCGAACCGTTCAATTGTGATTAACTCGAATATATTTAAAATTCATTGCCAGCTTTAGCGACAAGAATACATCTACCCTATCAAACACTGACTGATAGAATCAAGTGATATGAATCGCACTTGTCCGCTGATCATCAATTCCGTCTTCGTGCAAGTAGTACTAGCGTTTATACTATACCTGTGAACGAAACAAAATAAATGATAATAACTGAAATTTGTGGAAAGTTTGAGGCACTAGTGTTTATTAAAAACATTTCAGTCGGCCCATATCAAGTATATATATTATATATAATAATAATGATAATAATAATAATAATAATAATTCCTGTGTGTCAGGGCAATATAGAAGGCCAACAAAGTGTCTGGTTGATTTATTTTCACAACCCCCTTTTTAATAATAAGGGACGCGTTTTACATATCAACGCAACACATATCATTTACAATCATACGAACCTTCATGTTGTACACAGTAATTGTTATTAGTACTCGTAATACAATAGATAGTAATTGTTATTAGTTGTCGTTAATACAATCGTACGTGATTCATTAATATTTTCTTCTATCCTTTCGTTTACAATTAACCAATACGACAAAAGGCAACATTCATTTTGTAATAGTATCGTCGTTTACGTTATTATCATCGCTCTATCGGTACATGTACACCACGACATTAGTAATTTGCTTGTCGTTTAACGTTATTACACGAGAAAAATGCGACGACGACGCGTGTTATCGAATATGAAGCCAATTGATTTACGATCGTTTCACTCCGATTTGACTTTAAGCCTCGCGAAGAAACTCCGTATAGATCTCGCGTACCGCCGGTTAAAAACGAATCCGTCGAGCGATTTGCAAAAGGGATAGCGCGATAGAGTAAAATTTAGCATACGTTTCGAGGTCTACGAAAAGTCTTCCATGTTACAAGCCTTGTCGATGTGAGCATATTTTGTATGTACAAAATAGAAAAAAAAAGTTGTAACAGAGTTTGACTCTCTCTCTCTGTCAAAGAGCCAAGTGTCTCTTGTAGCTTGTATTGTCCGAAGCTCTTTCGCTATTGAAAATGGCCGATGTAGTTTAGGCTAATCGTCAACGTAAAAGCCTACGTCAGACTTATCCATAGCACAACTGAGCAATAACTATCGTGACATACCATGAAATCAACGTTTGAAACGAGGTAAGCTATGCGAATATCCAGAGCAGGAAGGAGATCCTCTGCGCGGCGCTTTCAAACTTGAAACTTCATTATCACTTGGCGCAATTCCTAACGAAATCATGTTTTCTCTTTCATTCAAAATTGAAGTGATAGTTTCGTAGAGCTACGATAAAATAGGCATGGAAATTACGGAAAGTGTATTGCGATCTCAAAATTAGGATTCTCAATATTGTAAAACGATTGGTAATTTTATTATATCGATGGACATTGATATTCACGATACAAGCTACCAGAAATATGTTCTCTGTTCAAATATGAGAGCCCACACCAGTCGGTGTGTAAAGCGTTTCGACGACCACGAAACCGTCGGAACAATTTCTAATTTACCAGCTAAGAGAGCTCACAACGACTTGGTCCAACGTGTTTACAAGATATTACAGTCAAAGATATTACGAATAGGCAGGAGCAATAATAACGAGTAATAAAATCTATGACAGTCTACCAGTTACTTGTGTTTTTTTTTATCTTTTATCAACGTTACACGCATGGCTACTTTGTTTCATTATCATTTTTTTTCCGTTTTGAATATTAAATATTGTTCCTTGGCGCGTTTGCGCGAACCTAATGACGCGCTAAACGAAACAAGAAACAACTGTGTAAGTGTTTGTTCTTATTTACAGTAAGATGTGTGTCATTGGGCATGTTTATCGTTATTATTATTAATATACATTTTTTCTTCTATTTTGTAAGTGCAAACACGCATATTTACTAGTACAGAGACACACGATACCATCGTGAACGGTGATACCGCACACGGGGCGCTCCTTTTTTTTTTTAAGTATTACACACAGATAATAGTAATGTTTACCCTGGTTTTATCAATTATTACAAGTATACGTATTTATACATATATATATTTATATAACAATGCTCATAAATGTCGTACCCTTTATACACTCGTCGACTATTATTCTCTATTATGTTACGCGATATTGCAATAATTTCAGGTTGATTATTCAGTCGCATGCTTAGACAGTACGTGAAATTATTCTTATTCTGAACTCGAAAGGTTTTGGGTAATTAAACAGTCACGATTAACACGTTGACTGCCGCGAAGATTAATTTAATCAAATAGTTGAGAAAAATATTGAAGCAGGCAACGTGTTAATGAATATACACAAAATTAAATTCTGAAGTGATTTTCTTTTTTTTAAATAATTAATCTTGACCAAATACAATGACTATAGCGTTAAAAATATGTGAACAAATGTGTAAGTCATTGTAAATGAAAGAAAGGAAAACAATTTTTAAACGACACGGGAAAACTTTTTATCAGTTTGTCAAGATAGCAATTCTATAAATTATTGTATCTTAACTTTTGTGTACGTTCGAGATACTTTCGTGTCGAGGCAATTTTTAATCGTCGATCGAAGAGAAACGATCATGGTATCGCGACAGATAGAAGCCTGTGTGTATTTAAAAAATTCCACTACGCTTAATTTTTGTAACTATTATTACACGGATACGTAGAACGCGTTTTGTAATGAAAAACAGTCCTGTTTCATAGCGTATTTGCGAGGAACTTCTACTTTTCTTGTACTATCTAGGTGAACGATACACACTTTCGAGAAATTAGAAAATTAAACGAGAACGAACAAAGGGAAATGAGATATCTTTGTTTCTAATTTATTTAACCGATCTGTCTTCTTATAGAAGGAAAAATTATAATGATCCTTGATTTTCTTTTCTATCGCCGTCGAACCTTTTCTCTATTTTGAAATTCGTTTCCCGCGTTTACAACGAAAAAGAAAGAACAAAAATAAATAAATAAATAAAATTGAAACCGATCTTACCATAGCATTCCGAAAGATAACTATTATCCGTTTGGTCGGTTACTTAGGACAGATATTTATCCTTATCGTCTAACGATTGAAAAAACTACAAGAAACTTACGTCGATGAGTACACAACAGTTTTTTTATCGTATAAGAAATGTTAAATTTGTTTGTTCGCTGTTTAGTCTGCGCTAAATTTCCTTTTCTCTCTATTCTACATATATTCCTATTGTACACACAATTACGATTCTAAACGTCTTCTAATTAAGAGCTTCGTAAAAACCTGCGGCTATATACACAACTGAATTTTTATTTTGTATTACAGTATCGCGTTAACACTGGAACAAATTACTTTGAAATTAAAAATAAATTAGACAAACGGATGATAAATTATAATTAGCATTTGATAGATTGAACGAAGGTAAGGCTTTTAACGTTAATTACGGAGCGCTAAAATCACACGTTACATTTTCAAGTTCCAGTGTTATTAAAAAAACATTTCAGAGGACAGAAGAAACAGGCGTGGATACGGGTTAAAATTGTCTTGTTTGATAAAATTCATATCGGAGTTCGCTGAATTCGATGGAAAGTTATAAAAAAGGGACGTTTCTTTTATTTGCTTTTCCATCTAGCGCTTAGACGAACGATAAACGGCTCTTTTGATCAGTGTTCCACGTTGATCGATTTCCTTAGATCGATCGAACGGTTGCTTTGATATATAAACAGGTACTTAATTAATTTCGCACTTTTTTTGCAAGAAAACTTGGAATGGTAAGGTGAGTATTGTCGAAAGAATTCACGAGTGGGACACGTGTGGAAATGGATAACACCGAGAAGCAAAAAGAAAACAGGAGCTTGACGAAGAAAATATGAAAAATAAAAAAATTATAACACAACCGTAACACAGCGAACTCTGTTCAAAAAAGGTGTCCGAGCGAAAACACGGACACATCTGTATTTATTAACCATTTAAAACACAGTGATGCCTGTACCGCTCTAACGTGTACCTTTCTTTCTTAATCATTTAATTCACATCTTTCTTTTTTTCTCATTTTTCAATCTTTCCAGCTCGCATAGCAATATTCTCGAATACACATACGCGGTATCGAAGAGCATCGAAGCTCCACGATCGATCACCTTAAGCATTAGTCTTTAGTGTTTGATTATTATACTACAGTAATATACAGAAAATCGTGGTTCTTGACTCGGTAATCTGCTCGTCCATCTTTTACATTCTGATCAAGATCATTCGATCTCGTTGCTGGACGAGCAGCCCACCGAGGCTATCGATTAATATTCAATAATTACATATACGCTAATTATATATATATATATACATATATATATATATATAATCGGCCCGTGTATATTAAAATATAAATATCAAATAGACTTCTTGCCCCCAGGATATAATATGTGCACCTGTATGCCGGTGCGCGACTTAAAAATTGAGAAACGTTCGTTTAAGTAAGTCGTCGCCGAATTAATTAAGACACCTGCTCTATCGAAGAAACGCGGAGCTCGCTACTATCAAAATCAACAAGAAATCATCAATTGTTTTTTGCTCTTAGATTTTGGTAACAAATTAATAACGAATAAAAATGTCAACCTTCGAACGGTATTTTCAATTAAAAGGAATCGTTTTTGAAATAGTAACGAGCTACGCCGCTGTGATATTAGTTTTTGGTTGTCTAAAAGATAGTGTTGCGCCGATACTTATCACCGATTGCATCGATCAAGCACAAGTTTTGGAATCGATTGTATTTTGCGGATATCGGGGCTCGTCCACGTGTTGGAAGAGCGAACCGATCGGACTGAATCGCACTTTACGTTCAGTGCACGATTTAAAGCCTATGTACTTTTGATTTATCTGCTGATTCTTTTCATTAAAGTCCTTTTTTTTTATTGTCGTACGTACAAAAGAAGCCAAACCGATGCGACTAATTATGCTTGATCGACGACGATCGTGATCGTAACGCAGTGTCTTTGTTCTCGCTATTTTAACGCTAATTAACGATCGGTTCTCTAACGTTCGACGACGACACTTCGACATTTCATAGTAGAATTAGTATGTATATTCGTGCGCAAACTATTTCCGAGACCAAACTAAACCTACGCTTTGTACTCTGGTCGACCTCTGAAATAATTCGTCGCACGCGCAAGCAATGAATATTTTCAATTTCTTTCTCCCTTTTCTTGTTTCTTTTCTTTTTTTTAATTACACGGTATGTATATATATAATATGTATAGAGAGAAATAGAGAGAGATGTGGCGTTCAACCAGATAACCGGATACAAAACTTGAAGTACGATTAGTTAGAATGAAAATTTAGATAAAGTATCCAGTATGGATCAGTGATATAAGGCACGATCTACCGCTAAATAAAATGGTTCTTGGCAAATGCTTCTACGATTATTCCTTTATTGTAGATTTTCTTAAATCAAACCGCAAGCTCGCGCCTCGTCTACGATTCATTCAAATTAATAATTAAATCGCGTTTACGGATATCGATTGAACACCATTTTCATCTGGCGACCCCTCGACAGGCGCCGTCGGGCGCAGCCTGAGAGTTTTAATACTTTGAGACCGACAGACTTCCCGCGAAAGCTTAAAACAAACGAAAACAAACGAAAAGAAACACTCTTCTTCGTTTTTTTCTGTTTTATTTATACGCTAAATACCGCCGTTTAGACACTTCGTTTTTTGCTCGCCCTCGATGGGCGATTCATTTATTGGGGTTACCATGTTGCTGGATGTATACGAAGGATCCACGCTGCATTCGCATTGTAGACACAAATTTATAAATAAACAAATTAATTTTGTTACACTGAGTAGCATCAAATTGAACACGCTGATTGTTATAAGATACCAATTTAAGAGCTTGATCGACACAGTGAAAATATTGCTCTAATTGCAATTATTCAAAATACGTATCATCGTTTAATTCTTAAAGATACCTTTAAATATTATACAGATCAAAATATCCAAGTGAATTGAAATAAATTCTTAATTATCGAATCGATATGTTGATTTTAATTTAACGAGAATACGAAAGGAAATTCGTGGTTAAATTCGAATGCACGTGGCAATGATAATTTACACATTTATACAGCTGTTACATCCATACGAATATAGGATAAAGAAGTTTTGGCAAACATTAATGTTAATCGACGGCACAAACGACTTATCTTCTCAACGTGTATGTACGTGTGTCGTGTGTTACGTGTAACTATATTATATACATATATATATATATATATCGATGGTAATGTAACAATCGCGATAAGGCAATGCTTGATGAAAATTCTTCGCAGAAACACGCTACGAAAATATAGAGGGAATTTAGAAGAAGAAAAGGAGATTCTGATTGATAATCATTCACGATTATTATTTCGAAAGACTTTTAGAACCAGCCATCCTTCTTTCGAACCAAGACCATTTTTTCGATCAACGAAAAGAGAAAAAAAAGAAGAAAAACACCTTTGTGGAAGATTGAAACGAATCTGTACATGCTATATGCAAATTTTTTCGTTAATTAATAAACCAGTGTATCGTGTTAATCACAACGATGGTTAACGATTATTAATAATAGTATAAATGACGTTACTACTATCATAGTACAATTAAAATACACAAAAGACGAACATTCAATATACGGTATATAAATATACAATGTTAGCCATTAGAGCGAATAGACTTGAAATCTGCGACAGCAAGTTTCCGGCTTATCCATACGATCGTAGAAAATTCTAAATTACTAGAACAGTTTTAAATAGACCTATTCTTTTCTCTACGTGTCCCACTTTTTTTTCTCTGTTTCCATTTAACACGTTCACTGTGAATCCTTTCTTTGAATCACGAGGATCGAAACAACCCCCTAAGTATGTTTCAACGTGTGGTGGTATAATTATTTAAAAGTATATTCGAAGTACATTTGGTAAATAATGATCTTAGGAACTAAATTTGGAAATCCGAAAAAGAGTTAATATGATTTTTCTGTCCGCGACCCTCGATTCACAGCGAACGTGTTAATCGGTATCCAAAAGGATATCTTAAAATTCTCTAAATCGTATTAAATTTTTCAAAGACGATGAAAAAACGAGCTGGTAGAAAAACTTTTCCTATTTCGAAAGTTTCTACGAAAGGATCGATCGAGTCTGAATGTGAAGGATGAGAAGAAACTTAAACAATCAGAATCGGAAAAAAAGAAATGTTTCATAAATCGTACGAACATCGAGAAACACGAAATTTTCTATTTTCATTCCACAGCGAAGACTATTTTCCAGCTAATGTCAAGCCGTATCTAATTATTCATCTAAAAAATTCCTTCACCCAATAAAGACGAGAAAAATCGTTAACGATAACTATAATTAACAAGGTCTAAGCAGTGATGTGTGTTATCTTTTTTTCCTATTTTACACAAGTTGGTTGTCCTCTTTCGAAGCTACGATTAAATTCTTAAGATTAGCATTATGCATAAAGATCGACAAACTTTTTTATAATACAAGTACTACCGTTAATTATTATTCTGCGATATATTACCATAGTATAATAGTGAACATTTAAGAACATCGAAGAACAGTCAGATAGGTGAATCGTCGATTCTAGCCCTAATTTTTCTTTCTTTTTTCCATTTTTTTTTCTTCTTTTCTTTGTTAATTATTCACGTGATCTATTCGGTCACTCTTGCTTTCCTAATCGGACATCATTTACTCGTAACAGCAACAAAAAACAAAAGAACACAATACTAATTAGATGAATTTTATATGAACGAAGAATTTATGAAGTGGTAGATTTCAAAATTAAAGTGTTAACCCCTGAACGGCAGAACAGGGAGCTTACAATTTAGAATAAACCTAGAGCAATACACTATTTTCTAAATTTTATATTATTTTGTTTGAAAATTTGTTAATTTCACGAGGCAGGGTCACCGTCATTCGAGGGTTAAATTACGATTCTACGTGTACGAACTTGTGAGCAAAATTCTATAAGTTTAGGATAATTATTGTAGTATCGATTCCTTTTTATAAATCGATGTAAATGCGGTCCGATTTCTACGAACAATCCTCCGACGATTTAAATACCAGTAACGTAAGAAGACAGACGTGTTTTCTTTAAGAACTCACAGAGCACAATTACGATATCAATCCTCTAGTAGTAACTCCAAAAATATGTTATTCTCTCCTATATATATATATATATTTATTATAACTACCGCTATCTATTTCCTCGCAAAAAAGTCAGTTATTTTGTTTGTTACAGTGATATAATGTATATATATATATAATATATATATATAATATAATTTCATATGAACTATTCATACAACGCGATGAACATTAAATTCTAAATCCACGAAGAAACGTAATCCTATTCGTGGATGTCCCTTTGATTCCTTTTCTTTCTCTCCTGTTCATTTTTCTTTTTCATTTCTGGCCATTTCAACGCGAACAACTGTGTTCAACATTTTCATTCTTTATTTCAAGTATTCGTAAAAGAAACAAAGCATCAACTTACAAATACATCCTTCATAATTTGTTATCAAGAAATTATCAAAAAATTTTAATTAAGATAATGCTTCCTTTCTGTTCACGAATACTATCATAGGATCGATCGTTTAGAGATTCCACGCTAAATAAAATTTACTATTGGACACAATCTCATTAACATTTTAGGCACTACACCTAGACACTAAGAAATCACTCCGCTCAAATCCCCCCCAAACCCTTTATCCTAGCCCTGATGCGATTAAGAAACGTATGTACAAATTTAAAAACGATTAAAATAATTGTATATATCTATAGCTTCGAGTGTGTACATGTGTGTCGTGTCACCCGAAAGGAAGAGGTAAACTGTTACGCTCGCGGCTCAATTAATGTGTAAACCAGTTTTCTGGTTTATTCTTCAATCCTTTAATGGTATATGAAAGTGATGATTTATGATTATCGCGACGTTTCGGATGAAAAATTTTTACAAACGGATGAAGAGCAGCTAAGGTAACGTAGTATCGCTTCAATCGGAAATGACAATCGCACGGGAACGTATAATTGATTTTCTAAAATCTGTTCACGTGAAAATTCGAAATAGTGGGCTCTTTCGAGAAAGCCTGACCAAGGAAAATTCGTACGAATATCGACACTATGTAATTAATAAAATATCACAACTAGAACCATCATCGTTACGATTACGGTACCGCTTATCTTTCTCTCCTCAATTTTCCTCGCCTACTTCCACTGTTGTATACTCATTCTATTACGCGGTGATGGTGCCTTACTGGTACAAAGCGAAAGGTGTTGATTTTTTTTTTTTTTTCATTTTTATCCCCTTTTAAAATAATAACGACTGAGGAGTTAGTTAAATATAAATGTATATATGACTGTGAGCTTGTACTGACTGACGATTTTACCCAAGAACTAAAAAAAAAGGACCGCGTGCGTAATAGTATACATTTTTCTATATAATAAATCAGTAAAGAAGCTTTTTTTTTAATATTAGTAGTAATGACATCGATCACGATATTCTAAGAGTTAAGAGAGTAACCCGGATCTAAGCGACCAGCTGAACAAAAAATCTACACCCAAATACTTTGTGTTTTTTGCTTTTACTCGCGTACATCGATAACAACGTGAATCTAATTAAAATAACAATATACATCTACAATAATATACATACACATGCATACATTTATATATATATATATATATCAGCGGTTAATTCGAACACGATTCGACAATTATTACAGTCTTAATGCGCTAACGTTACAAACAAAGAAAAAATAAATGTTACAATATCGTCAGTCAAAACCAGCTCTTTGGATGAAAAACCCCGACGAACCTGACTGAAATCTTTTTCATTTTTCTCAACGCCCATCTAACCACGCAAACGAATAATACAGATGCGAAAATGAAGCATGATATGACTATAATATGCGTATGATAGTCGCGTGTATACGTACAATCTATAAGTGTGTTGTTTTGTGCATCATGTATGAATTCTAACAGAAAAAATGATAACTAATGTTTTTATAATACATTACACGCGAATCAACGGTTTGTCCCTTTAATTGAAACGCGAAATCTAAGGATATGACTTCTTTTTTTATCTCACGACTTACGAGAAAAGATGGTAGGGTAATGTTTTCCTCTACGCGATTAAACTTCTACATGGCTTACATGGAAGCATACGTATACGTATATATATACATGTATAGGCGCGCAAAGGTGCTTGTGTTAATATAATTCGTAAACGTGTATGGTTGATATTAACACGCAACACTTACGTTGATTGTAATTTCAATATTTTTTTTACTTTACGTGTATCAAAGAGGCGGTCCTATTTCTTTCTCTCGTTTGCAGTAAATACAAAGTGTGAGTGTAATATGATTAATTGTTAAACAGGCACATCGACTTGGTTAAACGTTTCTCTTTTGTATCGTGCAAATGAATGGTATCGAGGCCAATTTCAGTTTTAATAGACGGGCTGTTTCAATTTGGTACGATTATAAGAGAGAAGGGAGCCTCTTGGTGGATGTAACAAGAAAAGAAGTTATTTTGATTTCTTTTTTTAACACCTTAGCAACTGGAAGCCTATCGTTTTTCTGTATTTTTAAAGTTAAAGCGATAGGATCTGTAGGTATTTGAGGGAAATGTACATCTAAGTGTAAAAAATGGCTTCTTTTAATTAAAGGGAACTGTACAGAGGGAGGGGCAAACCGAAAAGTCGACAAAGGCATCTATGGGGGTAAATGTACTAATAATGCTAAAAGAAGCAAAATAACCCGCCGATGAAGCGTTAACAGTAGCTAAGGTGTTAACAAGTGTCCCTTGTTCAATCTGTCAAACTTTTGTATTATCTGAAATTAATGAATTAACAGCACCGTCGTATTTTTAAAAAGATGTTCTTTGTGATTATAATAACGTATCTAAAAACTCACTTGATTATTCTATACACACCACGCATGCACTCATTCATTCTCACTTCTTCAATCACACTCTCTCGTTCTACGTGTAAAATACTTCTAATTAAACTCTGGACATGGATCACTCTAATCAATATACCACGGCTGATATCCCGTACATTTATCATACAGCTATGTATATAAAATAATTAGCAAAACAATGCCTAAGCGTCATTCCATTTAAAAAATCCACGAGATGCACACGTCAGCACGCGGGAGAAAAACCTTTCGATCCTTCTTTTTTTCCATTTTTCAAAGTGTTGCATTCCATTTTTCAGAGTTGTCGAACATCGAAAAAGGTAATAGGAAGATAGATATCCCCGGATGATTATATACAAAATCGACGTTCATGCACATCTACAATCATATGCAGTTCGAAGAATTACAAGACAATGGAAACTGCTTTCTTTTTTACACCGACGTGGACAAAGTGCGCGAAGGAAGAACATGATTCGACGAGAATAAACTCAAAGGGAATTACTGAAAAACAAAAAAATGAACTTCGCACCAGAAAGTATATGTGTGTGTGTGTGTGCAATTCGACATTAGAACATTTGCAACGAAGGCTCTGTTTGAGACTGAATCTTAACAAATTTCTCTAACTCCTACCTTCCTTCCTATTAATCATGCTAATTATATGAACCAGAAATTTGTGCAATGTATATGAACAAAGTACATTCTTGAACTCTACAACCCTCAATGAAATGAAAAACACTGAAACGAATTAAATGAGACGATGAAATCCTACTTGCAACGAATTCTAATCAAAGAACGTGGTATCTACGAAACACCCGCGAACTGTCTAATAAAATTATCTTAAAATCAGTGATGCCTAGTTGCAATAATCATAATAATAATAGTAATAATAGTGATAGTAATAATAATAATAGTAATTACGTTGACGACAATAAGAATCACTTAATAAAAATAAATAGTGTTGAGGCTGCTGCGAGTAGGCACAGCTTTTGTCAATAACGAGAATCAATCGTGCGATCAAATTCGCTTGATACACACGTTCCAATCAAAATAGACATCGATTTCGAAATCTCAAACTTCAAAAAAAAAGATCGGTGTCTCGGATACACCACCACAAGCATGCTTAAGACAACACGAAACGAACCCCATTACCGATAAAACTCGGAAAACAATTTTTCAAAACTTCATCAATGTCAAATTTCAAAACTGTGTACGTGTGTGCATGTAAAACAATCAACTCCCTCGTTTTAACACGGAACGGGAATCACCATCAGCGATGGTCCGTTTCGTAAAAGACAACGCTCTTGAAATTCATTAAAAAGCGTCGTTACACGCTCGAGAACAAAAATCTTCAATCGGTCGAGATTCAACGAGCAAAGGGAAACATTTATCGTGAATTCTACCGAATCACGGATAACTTTGTTGACGAGCTATTCAAGAATAGCGCGTGCACGATACGTATCGGATACATATCATTTACAAAAAAGAAATGCAAACTTATTCCCGTTACGTTGAAGCTCGAAAAAGAAAAAATTTCTTTGCAATTCATCAACACAACTGTTGCACACCAAAGTACAAAACAGTTTTGTCGAATCATCGACACGCATCGATGTGGTTTGTTTTATCCGCTTAAACCCCGCGTAATGTTGATACAAACGTCGTCTAGACGAAATCGTATGATTCATTTTGCGTAACACGCGCGTGTGTATTATCGTAAAAATTCCTTTTGGCGCGATATTATTCTCCCTTCCAAAAGCTTTATGCACAAAACGTCGAGCGTATGTGTGTATATATATATAATAATAATAATAATGCATAATACCGTCGTCACGTATTATATTATCGACATAATATGCGCCCCGTCTAAATCGAATAAAATCGTTTAACGTCGACCGTGTATATCACGAAACAACATTTGGACAAACAAATAATACAAATTACAAATTCATCGAAGCAATTTCTCGTTCTCGGTTAAAGGAGAGACGACGAAAAAAACACGGTCAAACTTTCTCCGCGTCGTTCTCCTTTTATCTTTCTCTTAACTTTCGGTTCTGTGCTCCCGTTTCCTGGCACACGATTCGCATGATCGAACGAAACGAAAACAGAGAGAACTGATTTTGCTTCACTAGTATTCCCATGTGCTTTTTTGTTTCACCCTTTTCTTTCATCGAAATCAAACAATTGTAGACAAAAATTCTCTGCGAACAGGCAGTTCGAAGGGGACAATCGCACAGCTTAAGGACGGATTGTCGGAGAAGTTAAGTCGACAGAAACGACTCTTTATCTTGTTTCTAGAACTCGATCATACAAATACATACACACGCGGATCGAGCCTTTTTATCAGTCGTGTCAATTTTGTCATAGGCGATCAGCGTTTCACTGTGTTTCTTTTTTTTTTCCATAGTTGATAATAAAACAGCGTCGTGAAATCGTCCCCTTCGTTCACGGATAAAAGAAACTCAACTGAACCAACCTTAGAGCCTCTCGTTCTCTATTTTTCGCTTTTCGTTCGATCGTGTCTTTGCGTTAAGTCGGCCGCACACAATGGAAAAAACAGAAAAATTAATTGCGTCGAAGCACATCTATCTAGCAGCTTCGTACACGGCATTTTGAGCTTCTTCTGAAAAACCAGACAGACAAAGGGATAATTTCTTTTTTTTTTGTTTACTCGGTGAACCACAAACCAGAAGGTTGATATTGATGTTTGGCCGGCGAAAGAGGGGCCAATCCGTATACGGCTGTTGGCTGCATATGTGCAGGCAGTGGGTGCGCTGCATGACTTGCCAGCAACGGTCTGGCCGAGCTGTGATGAGCTGGTGGTGGCAACGCTCGACTAGAATCATACAACGTTAATGGAGACGAGCTGTAAAAAACGGGATGATGATCGTTAGAAAGTCTCCGTAAAGCTCTAGAAAAAAAAAAAAAAAATAGGAAAAATGAGAAACATTTGTTTTAGAAGATTATTTCTTCGTTCCACACGCATACGATTTTACAAGGAACAATATCATACAATAAAATTGATAAATTATTTGTTATATCTTCTTTTTACATTGAATACAATCGTTTATTTACGTTCACGAAACGTTGGTGCAATTGTTTAAACAAGCAATTAATGATCAATGATCAATCAATGGTTCAAACGTAAAGTACACCTGCGAGCAACGACACCTTAGCTCGGCGAGGGGAACTGTATAGGGTATTATTTTCTAATGGATATAAGATGCAATAAGGAGACGATTTTTTGTATTTTGTTATTTTAAGAGATATGAAGGGTGCATACTCGACATTCAGGGTGCAGACCCTTGTGCAGTGATGTCTAAAGCTGGATATCCACCAGCACCATCGATATTCCAAAGAGTTCTCTTCCACTGTAAATCAGTAAATTTGTAAGGATAGTATTTTAAAAACCAGTTATAAAAAGTTGTATGTCCAGACTTAACGCGGACACCCTGTACAATTTTCTTCCCCAAGTAAAGGCATCGTTGCTCGCCGTTGTACATTCTATACAACCGCGTTTTATTTTGGAAAAAGTTCCGATAACGATTCAACGAAGGAACTATATACACCGTTACGTCTCGTGAAGAGAGAGAAAAAAAAAATATAGATCGTCTGATGGAAAATAAAATGTATCGTACGTTCTACAACGTTGTACATGCCATTGACAAAACTAGTGAGAAACAAAGTTGCAGAGGAACGCACTAATATAACTGGCAACGTGTCTACGGTATAACAACGATCACAGGTAACAAACATTACGATGATAAACTATCGCTAGAACGAAAATATAATAAATGGTACACACATGCATGCATCAACTAGGTGTCTAGGTACCCACCCGGGTGTGAATCCCTGATAGGTGGGCACTTGTTGCTGCTGGATAGCAGTGGGAGCCTGAGAAGGAGCGGCTGTTACGTACACCGGGGGTGGCACGGCATGGGCTCTTGAACGCACATGGGCGTACTCCTGGTACAGGGGTTGTCCCAGATGTTGGGCACTTCCTATTACAGGCCCCCCTGCAGGACTTCTGCCCCCGCCACCGCCCCCAGGACTCAAGTGGGCCGGATGCCCATGATGACTGTGGGTATGACCCGGATGGGCTGCCGTACCCACCACTTGGCTCTGCCTACAAAACCCAAAACAAAATCCATCCCTTCGTTATGCAATTCCCATGCGTCTGTTACTTACTGTAAGAAGTCTCTCTAAGAGGATAGAGACCAAACCGACAGAATCACAACTGGATCTCTCGTTCTACTGACAATCAGAAGAGATCCTTTCGTACTCGTTTACTCGATACTGATCATTTGCGCTATTAAGTGATCTGTGCCATACACATCCAAAGGGAGTCAAATTTATACTGTCTCCTGACTCACTGATTTCTTGCTACTTGAAACATTTCATAGTAGCGCAATTGGTTAAGAATAATATAGAAATTCATGCTGCGTTTACTTGCCCGGATATATACCACCGTCTCGACAGCGTGCACGAACATCTCGTCATCGGTTTGGTCATATCTCGTTCAAAGAGAAAACTTACATGCATTCGATAACTACGTGCATATAATTCTCGCGTATATCTATTCGTTCTATCATGTATCCCTAATAATTTTCTTTCTAAATCTATGTAGTGAAATGATACTGCATGCTTCGCGCGTGTGTGTGTGTCTGTTGCTCATAAAAATCATGGCATGCCATGTGATATGCTCACCTATACTGATGCACAGTATTAGCCACCGCCCATTTTTGATGGTCTCTCGAATGAGCAGCAGGTGGTTGAACGTATTCGTGCTTGTATTCGGTTCTCTTTCCAGGCCACGATACCCGCTTGTCCGTGCCGGTCGTGTACACGATATGCTGCTCTTGAAGGTGCGGATGCGCGCTACTCGTGGTCACATACTGCAAGAAGTAGTCATGCATGTCATAGGCATCATCCTAGAAAAACATTGCCAAAAGAATGATTACTAAAACAAGGAACAGGGGACAAGCAACCTATGCAGGGAGCAAGATCGTCAACGTTGTTCTCCGATACGCCCAAAAGTTGTATCTTGTACTCTATTAAAATCATTTAAATTGGCAAAATATTTTTTCTCTCTAAAAACAGTCAAGTACCGGAAAGAACAAAATAAAAGCAGAGGAGAAAAAATAAAAAATCGAAAGAAGAAATATAAATTGATATTCGAATTGAAATTTAACCTGATAGGTCGGTGGCTCTTTGCAGGCTGGCGCGTGACACGGATGTGGAGCAAGGTATTCGACGCCGGGCTCTGGTTTTGTTGCAACATTCACCATATTACACTCAGATTGTACTTTCGCCAATAGCCGTTTCTTTTGAGATTGAGAAGAATATCCAGAGCTACTGCTGCAATAAATAGACAGATTGACGTCACACACAATGTCTCAAATCTTGTATACATATAACATCTGCTACGGATGACGTATAAAATATATCGTTCAGATATCAATATTTTACATCCATTATAAAAATAAATTGACTCAATCGTTAAGGTGTTACTAAATTCCAATTTAATTACCTGCTGACGTGATGTTGTTGCTGGGGCTCATGTTTAATTAACTGCGTGGTTTGCTGATGCTGAGGATGTTGCGGCAAATGTTGGTACAAATGAGTATGCGCTCGGCCTGGACTAGCTTCGCCATCGCTGTCACCGACAGTTACACAACTGATGATGTTTTTCCGTTGTGCCCTCTGGGACGTGCTATGCGTCGTAACGTGCCCGTTGGTATGAGGCTGAGTGGTCGAATGAGTTTGTTGTATCGGCTGAACCACGCGTGGCGTCGACTGCGTACTGAAATGAAGAAGAAACCGGGTCAATTATAGGGGAGACAAAGTGCATCGGTATCTTTCCCACAGAACTTATGACACAGATTACATTCAGCATGAAAAAAATGGCATTAAACGCTAGAAGCTGTAGATATGTAGTAGCGTTGTTAGTTCATAGCCGACAAAAAAAATCGACGCTCCAAGCTTTAAATTGCCCATATTTTCGGAACAATAGTTTATCCTGTAAAATTGTTTGCTTCACGAGTGCGAAAATTCGACACACGCGTTAAACACGTGATCGAAATTTTTTTAGAAATGTTATTTTGTTACAAGCGTTGTGTTAGATGCCATATTCTTTAGTGATCGTTAACCATTTAATCTTTTACTATTGTGTGATTACGTGTTATTGCATTACAATTAATGTACCTTCGAATGACTTCCTCACGGACTGGACGTCCATCGCCAGACAGGCGAGTTGCCAAATTTTGACAGGCTCCGCACTGACGATCTTCACAGCTGTCAATGATATTCATGCATGATTCCACTACTTTCTATTCTACTAATAAATTATTAATAAATACAGTCCACATAAACGAAAAACTTATCGTCTGTGAAATTAATCTGTATATACAACACGATACAAAATTGGAAACATTGAACGAATCGTGTATTTTCGTATGTTCACATAGCTACGCTAACTTTCTTTTCACGAAGCAAATGAACAACAAAACGCTAATTGAATTGAAGCCATTTATGGTCTTTGTAAGACCGCAGGAAGTATTTGCAGCTAACTACATTCTGATGGTTCTAAATTTAAAGAATCAATAAACAGTAACTTACCATTTGCCGGGTATTTCGTCCTCGCTATCGCTAATCGTGATAACAGAAACAGCTGGCGATGGAGTGTCGTGGATCGTGATGGTTTGCTGCCGACCGGATGTAACTTGATGGTGTTCCACATTATGACTGCTGCTGTGTTTGCTGCTATGGTGATGCTGTTGCATGGGTGGTTGTTGCCAGTGACCACTCGTAGGCGAATGCCGTCTCATGTTGCTAGGTGGTGTACTTTCCTTCACCCTCTTCTTCACAGGACTCAATTGTTGGGTCTCCTTCTTATGCTCGTGCCTGTGCTGAGACTGTTGAGGTACCGTTACGTGATGCTGATGATGTTTCGTCACGCTACGCTTGCCCCAACTTTGAGACGGATGTTCAACAAGGGCGCTAGTGTTGTAGACTTCCGTGACAGGGAATACTGGCCGCTGATCCTTCCCCAAAACGAGGGAAATTAGTTAAACACCGGCTCGTTTTAAACGCGAAAATGATGCGAAACGATGGAGATCTATAAGTTAGGTACAGCGGCATAGTGGATAAGGCACTGGATTACTCGTACCTGCAGAATAGCAGAACTATCGACAATAAGAGGTCTCCCCCAATCTCCAGCGTCGCTCAGCAGAGGCTGCTGTATGGCTGCATGTTGCGGTGGCAACTGCTGCCACGATGGTACGATGGCAGCCATTTGACGACTTCCACCAGGCCAAGAGGTTTGTACAGCGTTCTATGGTTCAAGGTTAGCGTTAATATCTGATCGTTTTCGAATGTTCGATTTGCATAAGGATACTTACCGTTAATAACATTTGACGTCCAGTTTCAACCATGGACACTGGTACCGCTGCGTACTGTTGCTGAGCAGCTGCAGCTGCCGCAGCAACAGCCTGCTGCGATATGATCGATGGTTGAATCTGTAGCGGACCCTGTTGTGCCTGTGGTGGCTGTTAGAAGGGTAAATAAACAAATGAAGAACAAGTGGAGAGGATACGTGAAATCATAATGATAATTATTGTGTGTCATTTACTTGAGCAACAACTACGTGTTTTGCAGGACTTGGCATCGTCTGATAACTGGGTGGATGACAAAGCAGACCAGGGACCAATTGATGCGGAAAGTCGTGCACTCCGCTTCGTCCACTGTTCGATCCGCTAGACGAGCTACTGTACTGAGTCGCGCGACGACTACTGTTACTGTATATTTGATACTAAAAGAAAAGAACACAATGTGATAAAGAAAAAACTCCATGTATATGAGCATCCATAACGAGAATGAATTAGAAAAAGCGAAAAAATGATAGAAACTCGAATGTTCATTTAAACGAACCAGATTGTCATATCCTGTTTGCGCAGTGCGATGTTCTCTGACCAAACGCTGTACTTGATTGGTCAACTGGTTGTTAAAGGTGAAAGTTACAGCACTGCCATTCGTCGTCGGTACAAAGTTAGCTACCAACGAGGTCGGCGGAGGTGGCTGAGGCGCTGGAGGAGCTTGGTGATGCGCTGGGCTTGCAGTGAAATCACCTGCCCGTCGACAAACCTCCATCATTTGGACGGAAGCCTTAACATTGTTACAGTGTGCATAATCGACTAAATGGGCGAGCGTAACAAAGGCATGGTTCAGAGCCTCCCCAGGTGTTATTCGGCGCTCCTACAAGTAATAAAGATACGCGATGAACAAAGAAATACCTCTCTGCACCGGATCTAGAACCGGAGATCATTGTCCTCGAATCGTATCTCGTGCAATTAAAACATCGAATAGATATTACTACCTGGTCCATTGTGAGCATCCTCTTCAAAAGGTCAATGAACTCTCTCCTATCCGCTTTCTCAGCCAAAAGTTGACCACCCTCAAAATCAGTCGGAACATTCACTTGACCAATATCGTCGAGACAGTTAAAAATATACTTTCTCGCTTCCTTAGATTTGATTCCCGTCTCGGCTTCGTGCTCTTCAGGTGTTTTCAATCGCCAAAACGGATATGTACCTACAAGTAGATAGACGTTGCTATAGAACGATATCGTGAAGCAAATTTAACCTGCGAAAGGCAGACAAGGTCGCGATTACTTACTATCCATGTCTCTGTAAAAGAATTTAGTTGTTTTGCTGGCATTATTTAACATATGTTCCGTGGGTAGGCCTTGAGTCTGACTTATGTATCGAATCTGATCGTATTCCGAACTACCAGGATATAGAGGCCATCCTAGAAACAGTTCTGCAACCACACAGCCGAGTGACCACATATCTATCGCTTCACAATATGGAAGTCCAAGTATAATTTCAGGTGCACGATAATATCGCGATTGCAAGTACGTGTTGCAAACAGCTTTAGATACGTGGGAGGCTGACCCGAAATCAATAACTTTGACACGATAAGGCTGACGTACTGGATCCACCAGCATGATGTTTTCTGGCTTAAGATCCGCGTGAATCAACCCCAGTTGCTGCAAACATATTTAATGAATTCAATTCCATGAATCATCACAATCAGAAGCTCGGTATTTGCAAGGGTAACATTAAACGCAAACTCACCTTTAATTTCAAAAGAGCGGTGAGGACTTGTTGGAGGATAGGTCGGATGTATTTGAGCGGAAGGGGTGAAAATTTATTTTGTTTCAGAAAATCATACAGATTCTGTTCTAGCATCTCAAAGACCAAACAGGTGTGGGATTTGTGCTGGAAGCACTCGTAAGCGCGCACAAAGTTGAACTCATCCGCGTTTTCCTGACTGAGTCGAGACAGGATGGAGACCTATATCAAAAACAACATTATACTCGGACGAACAATTCTTAAACGGATCGTCGGAGTTTTTCAACGACTTACCTCAATCTGCCCTTGGCGCGCATACGATGGATGGTTCTTCAAAATTTTGATCGCTACTATCTCGTTGGTTCCTTTCTTCCAGCATTTTACGACCTACAGATAGACCCAAGAAGGACAATTGAGTTTCAGGTAAGAGAGAGGACCACGGTAACGATTTATCGGGCAATCTAAGGGGATGATTTTATACCTGTCCAAAAGTCCCTCTGCCCAAAAACTCGAGGACCTCGTACTGATTAGTCATAGAGTACAAAACTTCGTGCTGGACCAATTGGTAATCTCCATCGCCCTGGGGGTTGCTGCCACCGCCTCCATTGGCAGCATTAGTCACTTGTTTACTGTGCGCCGTCATCCCTGTTTGCTTATGTTGCTGTTGTTGCTGCTGTTGTTGTTGCTGCTGCTGCTGTTGTTGTTGCAGCTGCTGTTGCTGTTGAGTATGGTGCTGCGACACTACAGTACTACCCACTGCGTTCGTCGCGTTGGCGGAGTGGACTGCCAAGCCGTCACCATTACCCTCCCTCGACCAAGTTTTTCTCTGTAGGAGGAATACACCTTATACAAAAATTTTTGGACGTTAAGAGATCGTAGAGTAGATTTTATAGCTTTTGGTGGGAAGGGACGTGTAAGCGAGCACACGGGCAGGAAGCGATTTCAAACATCGCGTAATCCTTGGATCCATTGAATTCGGACGATCTAAACGGGTGCGTTATGGGGGGCACACGTTGGTGAAAATTAGTCAGACACACGAGTGCTTATGTTGCTAAAAGTTAGTGGAGTATATGCGTTACTGAAAATTCGTCGAACACGGTATATCGATCCTTGTGTCGACGAGAATTTTTAGCGGTAAGATTTTTCGCGGGTATCAGGGTACGCTGGCGGAAGTACATCGCGACAACTGGCATGAAATATGAAATAAAAGCCTTGAAGGCAATCGATACGCAACTACGCCATACGGAAAAGTCACCTGGCGAACGACCTGTTCATCCTATGTGCTCCACGACCAACCAAACCAATTGCTTCAATTTGTAATTAGTTCTCGGAATGCCGAGACTCGATTCATTAAACGAGCTCGCCAATGAAAGACGAGAGGAGTCGTTTCGACTTTTTTACATAGTTCTAATTTTGATGATCGATATTCAACGAAACGACGACCGAGTATTACGTGTATTAAATAAAACCAAATAGAAATCGAAATAAGAACATGTTCGAAATGTAAGTATTGGTTGGGTTCGTTATTAACCGATCGTAAAACTCGATGTACCCTCGAAGAAACGTCAAAGAAACGGTCGCCGAATGGCACAAAGGGGACGAGAGACACCTGGAAGGATACAGACAGTCCCTGGGATTGGGGTGCTCAATGTGCTCCGAAACTTTCAGGCACGATATTCGTTCCAAGATTTATTGAGACACGTTAAACGTTAACGCTATAACATCATGAAAGAAAGTCTCCTCTGGATTTTCGCAGCTATTTGTAAGATTTAATGCCCTTACCGATGGGCTTTCTCAGAAACGTAACTTTCCTTTTTAGAACCATTTGTTTAGAAAGCTTTTAATGTTCGTCAACGGCAATTTCGTATAGTACAATTTGATATAATTGATATTAAAGAAATTGACGTCCAGCGTGAACAACGATCATCTCTTGTGCGCGATACTTATTCGACATACATTTGCGTCATCCGTAATAAGCGACAATATTGAATTTGTCGTAGAACAATATCATCCATCGATAAGGAGTTAAGAAGATTGGGAAGCACTTGGCTATTTAAATATGCAACAACAGTTCAAAGTTTTATCGAAAGGGAATAACGTTAACGCTTATAACTGCTCGCATTATACGAGGGTGCATTGCATTTACAACCGTTTCAAGGTAGTACACGTGTCGATGGCGAATTCGAAATATCGCGTGATCGGACATTAGCGTCGACAATCAAACACGCAATATGTCGCTATTAGATATTTAACGCCGACGATTAGGAGCACGCGATATCGCGTTAATACTCGTGTATAGCAACAGATTCCCTGATCGTTCGTCTACATTACATAAATAAACTATCTGGTTAAGAGTTAAACGAGCCGGTGTTGCCTATCGCCATCGCCCATCTAGATGGTTAAAGCGTTAACGTTAGAAAACGAGGAAAAGAGTTAACTTTCCTCGACACGATGAGCGCGTAGGGGTCATAGGAAAAAAGTAAAAAACACACGTTATCGGTAAGAGGAGATCGCAGGAAGTGGCACCAACCTTCTGGCCACAGCGTTGGTACGTGTCTAAGAGCTTGATCGTCGAGGCTCGTACCAGGGTCTGTTGGTTCGGGCTACTCTTCTGCAGCGCATTATTGTTGTGCAGCGAGCTAAACGCGGTATTAGCACCGTTCACGGAGTACCGTTGTTGCAGACCGGTATTGTCTAATTGGTAGTCGCCGGTCGATTGGACCAATGCGTGCTGGATCACCGGCTGACTCACGTTGTACTCCAACTTGCGTTTCTTGCTATGATGGTGAACGGTGTTGTTACTGCTGCTGCTGCTGCTGCTGCTGCTGCCGTTGACGCTACTCGTCTGCTGTGTTTGGATGAACATGTCACACATTCCCTGTAATCACAAAACAGGGATACAGGTACTTATCAGATGCACCAGATACTTTGCGGAACGGTTGCTGGAACCAGCAGCAATTCGGTTCGTTCACCTTTTCATTGTGGATCAGACGTTCAGGGCGCGCCGCACAAAAAACGATTAATGTACAATGAAAAGTATGAACAGTTTCACGACGACGAATTCCCACAAGAATTGTTTCGCTACACAACCACAGAAACTAACTGGTTCTGATTTAGAAATTCGGATTGGACACTTGACAATGCATGAAAACATTCCGTGTACTCTATCTGCATGTTCCTATACAAAATTTTCAAATTGTTTGAAAATGTCCGCGACATTGTGCCAAAATGTTGTGTACAAGTGAGTCGTGCCTAACCGAGGCTTAAGTGGCAATACCGATACGCTTCGAGCTTGTAATAAACAACGGAAAAATAGAAGCGAACTAAAAATAAGCAGGAGAGGATGGCGAATGAGAACTCGCGGTTGTACATTCGTGAATGATTTTTTTTTTTTTTCATCGTTGGATACGGAGCAGCAGGGTGTATCCCACCCAAAGAAGAGAGAGAGAACTCCGTTTGCCTGTTGTCATTCTGATTTAGGCGAAGCAGGAGAACCCAAGAGAATCCGTGCTGCTTGGTTATCGCAGACATATAAAAAGCACGAAAGCACACCTAACAGCGACGACACACGACTATGAATATTTTAGTGTCTCTTTTGCGTACATGTGGCTTTGTATGGTTCCACGGTGATTCGGGCCAGCGGCTCTCAAAAGGCATCTACCGACCGAATATCAGGTTTCCCCGTGATGACAGTGTCTCATCCAACTTAGCTGCAACAGGGCAAAGATTTTTCGGTTTGTCTTCAAGCTGACTCGAAACGGAATTGGAGGCGCCAAGTTTGAAAAGTTTCTGACACTGTTTATTGGATGAAATCCAACTTAGCACGTTCGCGAATTGAAAATTAATCCACCATAGATCAGTGGAGCGAATATGAATTATTTCAACTTGAATGTAATAAATTTTTAACGACCGCGTGGAAATCAGTATACTCGATTTATTAACCCTCCAACGATAGGGCCACTCCAATAAAAAATGTTGGAAATCATAGTTCGCACGTATAGCGTATGAAAGTCGGTCTGAAGTTAATCTTTGTACAGTGTAAAGTTGCAATTTACGAAATTTAACTTTTGATAAGATAACGTGTTATCGATCTCATAAAAAAAAAAAACTGCACACGCGTAATCGGCGTAAATCACGCGTGATCGACCCCGTGTGATCCTTTTTTTTATTGTTTCCCTGAAAACTTCCGATAATTCTGATTCGATTTCATCCACGGATTTTTCCCTGTATCGGTACTCATTCTTGTTTCTCTCGTGCGACTATCTTTGTCCATCCGCATACACGACGTGCTCTAATTATAGTGCTGTTTGTCAGAAATAGTGTTGCTCCGTATTATGAACGATCTACGGTACTGTGATGTACAGTTACGTTTATATGTTACAGCCTCGACAACCGGTGAGAGAGAGAGAGTTCCGATAAACTAGCGCGATAATTAACCCTTTTTCACAATTTTTTCTTAGAACACGCTGTGGAGATACTCTTCGGTGCCGGAAGAATCTAATAATAAAAGCTCCACTATACAAAATAGACCTCTGAACTCTATAATTCGAAGAATTGTCACAGCAATCGATATCGTATTGACGAAAAACGAGCGAAAAGTTATTCGAGATACGTACATCGTAATAAAAAGAGCAAAATTACATAATAATTTTGAGCGGATAGAGATATAGCGGATCGAAGGAGTTTCAGTTTACTCGCAACCGGTCGACCTTTATTATCGTGTCGCTGTGCGACTGGCTACTGTAACGTTCAGCAATGAATAATGATAATAAAAAAAAAGAGAGAAGAAAATGCCATCGTTAACAGTAACGGGGAATCTGAGCGTTGTATGCCGTCTCGCCACGATGATAAACTCGAAACGCACGCGGGCAAACTTTGCAATGCAAAGTTGCGTGGTCGGTGACGTTCGGCGCTGATCTCTCGCGTTATCTACGAGCGACTCGTATAATCGTTTCGGAGCCACCAATGACGGGAGTGTCGTTCGAGAGGCAAACAACGAGGCTAGCTCAAAAGTACCCACGATTAACCCCAATCGGACGAGTCCAAAACATCGGCATTCATTTTTTTTCTCGAAGATTTCTACGAACTGATAATTAGAAACTCGAAATGGTTTCAACCCTTTAACTGATACACGTCCAGCTCGTAACTTACAAGCTGATTCGAGGCTGACCTCATCGCGAGCACGCTCCTGATCGCGTGAAACGGTTCACGTGTTCGGCTTGCATGCTGACTCAAGCTGACCGACAGATAAACGGGAAAGTCAAAAATCGAGCCAACCTTTTGCACTCGCGGAAAAGTTCACCGATGAATCACGGAGAAATGTAAAAACCGCGGTTGAGAATCGAACGCTGTTTTTCTTTATTCAATTGCAAGGGGTATTTCTCTTACAAGCTTCGATTCTCAAAACTTTCAGCGTAACCACGATACGACACGTGTGGCACACGTTATTATATCCGTCTTTCAGTTTGAATGGAATCGACGCAAATTCTATTGACGCACATTTCCTCTAATTTCAAGAAAATGATACGCTTGATTACCGGTGAATCAAGTCTTAATCAGGCACATTTGATTCGACGGTGATTTTTTTTTTTTTCAAACTAAGTTGTTTGCGTAACAGTCTCACCCTAAACTCCCCGATCGATCTCTTCTGAACGAATCGATTCCTCCGCGACGCGTAATTTCCGTTGTCGCAATATTTCGCAACGCGTTATACGGGTCTCCCCTAAGCTATTTTCCACCGATGAGTCGCTTTCCTTTCTTTTCACGAATTGGATGCCGAATTACCGATACCGAATATCGTTTCGTCGTATCTAATTATAATTTTAACACAAATCCGAGACCTCGAGCAAATAAACGACAAGAGGCGGGGGTGGAACAAAACGTTTGTTCGATATTATGTAAGAGACAATTTGTTCTTGCAACAAACGTACGTTGCTTTTTACACGGTACAACAGAAACCAATGGACGGGTTCGATTGTTAAGATTACACAATAAATAAATTATACGTTCAACCGAGCCTTGGTTCCCTTGTAAAATTCCATGTTTTCTTCGACGATACAGCTAAGAACGACAGATAACGTTAACCTCGACCACGGAACTTTCCATATTGTACACCAATCTTTTCTGTACCATGCTTCGCCTCCTTCTTTTTCGGGACCGAACAAAATCTACGTTTCAAAAGCGATTCTAACCGGTGTTTACGTGTATAAATCGAGCCTACTGTTTGCCCAGAAGAACGTTTCCCTGCGCGAAGGCCGACACATTGTGTTGCTCTTTGAATTTCACTGTTGGCGATGCCAGTTTCAAAACTGTACGGCTGGAAACTGCAGACTCATAGCCAAGGTATCTGTACATCGAACAGTCGGGCAACTTATTCCAAATTCTACCGATTTTTCACCAGACAACGATCGATAAAGATCGAAGAACTAAAACGACGGATTCTACGCGAATGATAAACGATTTGGATTCTCCCGTTATCGTTATCTCCTCCGAGCGCATCGTAGCTGAAGATTCTCCATCTCATTCGTGTTGTTCGTTTCGAGAAACATTGTATCAAGATTCTACGGTATTTTTATTGATCAAACAACATAACTCACGTTTTATGGATCGGTATTCGTGTTCCACTAACATCCCAGTTATGGCTGGTGTATTTATAAAAGCATACGCTTTACGAGGTCAAGTTGAAATGATCGTACTAAAAAGACAACGATAGGATTCACCGAATGAACGGCGGACTAATGTTTGAACGGTAAAAGGAAAAGCTTCGGACCAGCTTTCACCGGAAAACAAAAATATTCTCGCGGAGAACGTCGTCTGAGATTACTCTCTCTCTCTCTCTCTCTCTCTCTCTCGAGCCATTATAAAATGATTCTTAAGAGTAAATTTTCCTTTCTAATTATTATCACAGGTAGACTACCCATTTTGTTCGTATTTCATCTTAAGGAGACACACACGGTGCGTCACCCGTTAAATTGATTAGTCTCGGACACACATGGTGCGTCGTCGGTCTAATTGGACAGTGCAAGGGCATATGGTGCATCGACGGTTAAATTGAATAGCATACAAAGGCTTATGGTGCACCGACGGTTAAATCGAATAGCGCACAAAGGCTTGTGGGATGCGTTGGCGGTTAAATCAAATTGTCCAAGACGCACACGGTGCGTCGCTAGTTAAACCGATTGCCGAATGATACACAGATAGCATCACTGATTGAACACGTGTTAAACGGAATGCCAGAGGGCAGAAAAATTTGCTGAAGAACGCAATTCGTTCATGGTCATCACGAAATATAAATTACAATGCGAACGGGAATTTCTTCGGTTCCCTACTGTATAAACTTATCACGAAAACTTATCGCAGATCATTTTTTGAATATCATCTAATCGTACAATCTATCTGCTAGGCGCCAACTTTTGACAAATACTGTTGTAAATAATAATTACGGTGTAAAGTTCCAGTAATAAACAAAAATTAAAAGATTATACAATCTTCTATAATAAAGATACAGTAAACGGTTGGTTCTTTTAATATAAATTAAGTCCATCGATAATTTACCGTACGGTATAAATGGGCCAGACTAAAAGGCTAAATAATTTCCAACGTCAAAGAAAATTCATTATTAGGTGGAAAAAAAGGAAAAAAAAGGAGCAAAGGCGCGCGTTGGTGGGCGAAGCAGAAGGCGTGCGCGCATGCGCGATAAAAAGGAAGGCGTTCAAAAATGCGGCAACGGATATGTATACGAGACGTGTCCTTCTGAAAAAGTCCGCACGTGTCGGAGTCATGAACCGAAGGCTTCACGAGCAGAAGACCATTCGAAAGGCCACGTTTCAGGTAATCCAAGCTAAACGAAACGAGATAAAAATGTTTCCCGATCGCGGCCGTCGCATCCGATCATTCCGCGTTTCTCCAACTGACAGACGCCGGCCGATAATTAGAAAACGATAATCAAACGGGGAAAATATAGAGCAACGATCGATCTGCAGATGAATCGTGGGCTGCGGAAGGGTGAGGGAACGGATGAAACTAATTGGATTTTCAATCAGACTTCCACGAGAAAAAGATTCGATTCGGCGATTATTTTTTTCTCACCTTCAAATCGCTTTTCCTCGCTGCGTTCAATCGGTCAGGATTTTTCTTACAATTTTAGAGAATCCCTACTTTTAATCCCTAGTCGTTGGATTTTCCAATTCAAACTAAAGAAACAACTCCAATTTTACAGATAACGTCACGTTTATTGTGACACGATAGCTTCGTTTGCGAGATACGATTTGTTTCGATGGGATGGAATGGAAAAATATCGCTTGTGTTGTGAAAAAATGCAAACGAGCGCGCGTTTGTAAATGATCAGAATGTATACATATACAACACGTCGAATGGAAAGTTTCCATGCTAACTTATACGTGTATTAAACGTCACACGAAATCGACGGGGTCTCTTCCACAAAAATCATCAATACGTACGACGATCGACGTAAAACATCGTGACAGACAGAAATCGGGACACGGAGACGGTTCTACATACAACGCGATTTCCAACGTACGTTGACGCCGTTACTTGGTCGACAGATGTTTCATCTCCAGCGTCGGGTCTTGGAACGCAGAAACTTTTCCACTCCGTCGGGAGAAGTTCGTTCACGTTGGCGTTACAACGAACTTTGGAAATGCAATGCTTTTCGGAGACAGCGTGAAGTAATTCGTAACGATGATTACGATTCGAGAAATTCGTATACGATCAAAGTTGTTTATCGAATTTGAACGCGCACGCACGCACACACCCGTCGTAAATCGACGAGGGACGTGGTCGACGCAGTAAAAACGCAATCTACATTTGGAGGTTATGTTCATCGTTTCGACTCTTTTCGCAACAGATGTTTTCGATTCGGTGCTCTGTTTCGCGATCTTAAACTTATCTAACGAACAGACGCTAAAAAGTGTTGTGCGGAGAGAAGACTTGAACTGTCAAATCGCTAATGTAGATAAATTGCTAATGTAGATCGTACGTCCCCCATCAGAAGCTTTCAGGGAATAAGCAAATACACAGTTGCACAATCGAATAATGTTACTCGTATGACGTAAATTTTAAGTTGTTTACGTTGTCCCTATACGAATTGTACGTTTTGTTCGTGTATGTACGAGTACGCGAAATGGTAGTCGACGGATCGTTGAAACGGGACAGGAACGCGTATGACACGCGAGCGTTGTATCTCCGGCAACCTGTCAACCGCAAAAGTTGGAAATAAAAATTCTAGAAGGCGTCGCTTTTCTGATGCCAGCGATGGGGATGGAATTGGTGTACGTGTGTCTGTTGGAAAGAGCAAACGAACGAAACGAAACGAAATGAGACGACGACAGTGTGAAATTAAAATTGGAAAAAGGAAAACGTACCTCTCGTTTCTTGGCCAGTGTCTCTCTCTTCAGGGACGGGCCCGACGATCACGTAGCAGCATGTTCCGTTTATTCCCGGGTTGTCTTTTCCCCGTCTGGTTTGTCGGCCTCTCGTTAGCGACACACAGCCATCTTGCGTAGTGCCTGGCCTGGCTCGGTCGCTTTCGGTACGATGGCCTCCGTAGGAGCGACAAAGAGGAGAGTCGCGGTGAATAGAGGGGTAAGAGAGAAGGAGGGAACGAGACGGAACAGAAGAGAGAGAGCGAGAACCACGGCCCCGCCGAAGTGCGTGTCCAACCAATACACACGCGCATACACACTGAAGTAGCACCAGCAACGCCACACCGCCTCCACCACCACCACCGCCACGACCACCACACCACCAGCACCACTACTACCAACACCGCCACTGCCACCGATGTGGAGGCACTGTACCTCTCTCACAGTTTTCGCCACTTTTTCGCACGGCCCTCGCCCACCTTCGTCACGTACATATTCCGTGGAGCAGCCAGCGTCTTGGTACACTTTTTGTTTCACGACGGATTTCCGGACTGGCTGAATGCAACGTTATTTAACCGTTCGACGATGTCTAACGACGACTCGAACGGTCATACATCTTCTTTCGTTTCGTTGTTAACGTTACGCCACCGTCGCTGCTGCTCCCGTTGTTGCTAATCCACTACTGACTGGCCGTACCTGTCGTTCCAGCACGCACGACCGCGATCGGGGGATCGCTCGGGCTCGACTGCCGCACGATGGGGTAACTTCGGCCATCTCCGGTACGGATCGGTTCTCTACGCTCACTTTCCGCGCAGGGACGACGATATCGTGGGCGCATCAAGCGCCCCGTCCTCGTTTCCTCTCGAATGACTCATGTGCCATACTCTGACGTATGCGCTCACAGTCGCCGTCGCTTAAGAAACCATCGTGGCCTCCTTCGTATAAATCTGCAAGACATATGGACATATTGCAACGTTAAAATGTTACAATTTTTTTCTATCTTCTCCCTTTTGTTCGATCATACTCATTGAACTTTCACCACTGATCTTTTCTTGTTTCGATTTTCAAAAACTTGTTATTTATCGTATCGACGAACATGTTTGCACATCGTTTGAGCAGAAATTGCGCTGACGTCGACGAATGATGCGAGTCGCTAATGCTCTTTCGGCATTACAAATGATTTACAAAATTTTTGTTTTCCTTCATGGACATCGTTAATATCGTTCGTGACGCTTGCGCAGAAATGTTTCGACAGGTTCGAATGTTGTTTCATTTCGATGTAGCTTACGCTGCAATATTAATAAATAACACATTTCGCGCATTCGTTTTCACCATCGACTTCTCGTTCTGGTGTACGGCACGGTAGGCCGATTTCTGACGAAAAAACTGGAGGGAACGGTATATACGGGTAGTCGCAACAACGATTTGTAATCATCGTAGCGAGACCACGGAAACGAATAAAATTTCAAATGATCTAACCATTTTGTCGGCCGTGCCACGTTCTATCACCAACAAAGAGAAACGCGCCTTGCGATTAATTGTTAATCTAATCGAGCCATAAGCAACGATGAAAGGTCGAAAGTCTCGTTTATTGCATGCGGTACATACATTCAATCATTTTCCACGACAATGTCCGAACGGAGCAACTCGAAGAAACAACATCAGTGACGCTTTATCGTAATTGAACTTTGAAGTCTCGTAAAAGCAATGGTTACAGTGCGTACTTATGTGTACCATAGAAACGATTTAGCGCACGTCCGATCGAAGGACACGGCTCGAGGATCCAACTGTGTGTCGTAGAGGGCGATATCTTTATGACTACTTCGTTGGAGTGACGGAGTATTAATAACCGCAGTGGCTGTCTTTTTGTAAATCACAAAAATAGACCCCCCCAATCCGCCCCGTATCCGGGCCTGCGCCCATTCCCTCAAATCTAACTCGATGTTAGGAGCGAACCCGTGGGATCGTTCTGATCGATCTTTCGACGGTCTGGCTGATCGTTGTTCGAGCGGTCGCGAAAGTAGGCGATAACGTGACGCGCGAAAAATTTCGACTCGTAGATTAAAAGATAATCCGTTTGCACGCGAGCCAAGTGAAACCGGATCTTTCCGAGTCAATCGCCATTTAAAGACACAACCGTTCTTTTTCCACCGTAATACTGTTAAACGATCTACGATCTGTCACTGTGTTAATCGTCGATCTGGTAATTGAATAAATCATGAGATATTTTTCAATGCAACGAGATTGAAAGTCCTTCGTAGAACATTAAATTTTGATAAAATTTTCAAAATCGATTTCTGGCTAGCTTTTCTATGCAAACACCCTACGGTATTTAATGTCGAACGTCACGATTCTATTAAAGGCCACCCGTTCTAATCACGTACCTGGTGGCGCGTGACGTCATTGGCCATTAGAGGCTAGCGGTTCTCGAGCAAGTCTCAATTTTATAATTCGAATCAGAAAATTCCCGCGCTACAATGCTTTACGGTACATCGCAGTATTGCGGTCTCGAAGGGAATTGGGTCCACGGTAGAGACCCAAAGGAGGGTGCAATAAAACGATACGTACCAAGACCGATATACTACACCAAGGCCTATTTTTATCCTTAGCAACCTGGCTACGATTGTTGCCTATTTCTTTTATATTAAGGATAAACCAAAGCGTATAAAAATAAGCTTTGGTTCTATAATTTTAGATGACGGAGACAGTTGTGAAAAATGCGCCCGACAAAATAAATTTTTCAAGGAAACTTGTTATTATTAAATAAATTCGCAAAATCGCGTTGAAAAGGGGGCGTTCAAACGGGGAATACCCCCTTAAGTTACGACCTCACTATATCCTGGCTATACGCCCCTTTTCTCCCCACCCTGTGTCGCCCCTGTTGTGCCTCGAGCCATCGCACCTCAGCATTTTGTTGTGCACCCTACTTAAAATCCTTCAACGGTTTCACGAGGAGTACCTTCGAAAATGGACAAAGAGAAAGAGGGGTCCTGGAGCCTGCGGGCGGCTGTTTTTCGTACGAAAATTCACGCGCTCCCGTCTGACCTGGAAACGCAATGAACGGCATTCGGCCCGTTATTCTCCTTTCTCGGACGGACAGCGTCGACCACGATGTTTCCGAGAAAATTACAGTGCCCGGGTATTATACACAGGATTCGCTCGTCCAAAAGGAAACGGTCGTCTAGATGACGCTTTTTCGTTTCTCCTTTTCCCAAAGCGACACGCGACACGGAGCGTGGTAATACGAGCGCTGCGAGGATCCTGCGAAGCTGATGCCACGGATTAGAAAGTTGAAAGAAACGGGGAAAAATGAATTCAAGCCGGAGACGCGAGCGACTGATAGGAATTCATAAGTTTTCCTAACAGAATGCGGTTTTTTATCAGCCAAAAACGATGGCTACGTGCTTCAGTCATCGTCGATATCAGTTCGCAAAGTCAGCTAGCGCGTGTAGCCGAGGTCTTCTTCTCGATGCACGCACAACACCGACAAGATTTTCCACGTGTCACTGGGTCACTGCACTTGCTGTGTTGCGCGAGAACGTGAATACAGATCGCTCTCTAAATATCAGAGTACCCAAGACTCCGTATTCACCGGTCGTCTCTAAAGTTTAACCAGGAACGTATACACGAGAGACGAGATTTTTGAAATTTGACCCACTTGAGTATCGCTGAACATTATTTGATGAGAACAACAGAACACCAGTTCCATTTCAAATGAAGCTGGTCAGTGTGTTAAGGTTTTTGTCAGAATCATCATCGGTGCATCGTTTTGACACGAAGAAAATAATCATTTTTACCGGTGCTGATCTGTCTCTGTTTCCTCCCACCTTGCGTTGACCGGCTGTTCCTTTTCTTTCGTGCAATACGAAACGAGTTTCAAACGATTCAATGCCTCGGTCTTGCAAATGTGAAAGTACATTACTGCGGGCTCTGAAAGTCGTTTTGCTCGAAGGTTTACCTCTCGAGCGGCCCTGGACCGTTCACCGAGAAAAGAATCACGAAGTGAGGACGAGACGAGCGCGGTGAAAAATCGCCAGGGAATACCAGGACCCCCCTTAACCGTCGACCAAGGGGAAATCGTGGTTGCATTTCAAATGAAAGCGCTTTTCCACTGTGTTTTGCTTACGATATACCTACTCTAATGCTTGCCTGTCGATAGATAATCCTTTGTACCTGTGAATTTCGATTTCCTTTCGAAATTCCAGGTAAAAACCCTTTCTCGTCTTTCGAACGAAGAATTTATTGAACTTTTCTTTAGAAAAAAAGGTTTAGATGTTACTTGCTGAACAAAGTAAATAATAAAATATTTCTTAAGGAACTCTTCTGAACAGAATTATTCATTTCAGGTTTATATGTATAAGGTATTTACATGTTCCCTGAACATTAGTATCGAAGACATTCCACAGTAGGTATATAAATGTCTGACAATTGATTCGAACAATGCTAATAATTTTTGACTGGGAGGATTCAATGTTCAATAAAGATTATTTACTGTGCTTATCGAGTACTGCGTTTATCCCTTGTAAGTCTTGGACCCTTGTATTCAGGTATACGGGGCGAGTCATGCAATTGGGGCACATTATATTCCAAGTTCCACTATAAATAGAAAGAAGTTTAATTTACACCTGTTTTGCACAAAATCAATTTCGTGAAAAATCTCATAGCACTCTTGAATCAAAAGGAAATCATCGATTGGTCGGCCGCAGAATGCTCTATTTTCTTCTAAAAAGAAGCATCGACTGTCCACTCTACTAGTGTTCTATTTTCTCCTAAAATAGAGGCTCATCGATTCGATGGGCGTCGCATATGAGCTACGTATACCAAGACACGCGTTTCAAAATTTCTATTTTCAAGAAAAATTCATTGCACTTTGCATCACTATTACGAGGAAAAGAAAGGAGAGAATTAAATATGATTTAATTCCGATTAACTTGTCAGATCGACCTCGGCGATTTTTTCTGATCCCAAGTAACATCATCGTTCCCAAGAAAAAATACCCGAATGTCGAAAATACTTGGAGAGGAAAACGCAGGAGAGGCGTTATGCGCGGAAAATATCAGAGATGAAAGCTCGAAATCGGGACGAGAAAGAGAAGGAAAAAATGTCGTACGAGACGCAACACGCCACGTAAATAGAAATTTCGTTGGTTGCCGAGATTAATGTCGTTCGAAAATGAGATGGAACACGAAATCCGATTGAACCGACGAGGAGACGTCTCGGTACCCGGTTCGTCGCCCGAGAGCATTCGATTAGAAACGAATCGATTGATCTGCCGAAAGATAGGCATTCCGTAAGCTGCATCGAAGCACTCAAAAATTGAAAGGAATTCAAAAGGGGCACGAAGATTGAAGTAGCGAAATCGTTGTACCAGGTCGATGACATGGTGACGAAGAAGCAATGGAAATTAATAATTATTTATTTTCTTATATCCTCGATGGGCAGTGAACTTGTCACGATGATGTTTTAAACCGATGACAAACGAGCTGGTTTTTGTCCTAGAATCCTCGTATTCGAAGAATCTTAGTCGACTTACGGAAAGAAAGAAAACAGGAAGACCTATTTTCCCGTTTCGAAGACGAACCAATGCGATCTGACACGTTGGACGTGGTTTTACTGATCGATACCGAGTTAATCGCGTTAACGGACGAGCATATAATTTTATTACGGATAAAACTGACGCGAATTTGCCGACTCGAATTTCTTCCGGATCTCGTCCGTCGGATTTGCGACGCTCGCCAATCTAACGAGCCGCCCTCTTCGAACGGAAATGACGTTTATCAGTTTCCTCGAGACCCTGATATCCATCCGTAATTTCGTACCGCTCGTAATTACTCGGGTGTGCAGCTGAGTGTTTTTGCAGGATCTCGAAGTGCATAGCAAACAAAACAACGACTGGAATACCTCCATCTTGTACGTTTTAACTGTCTACAGTTTTTGATGGAAGAGTTCGTGGATATATCACAGTATCATCGAATTACTTGTTTAATATCTTATTGTTCAAAGTCGATAAGACTGAATGCTTCGAATTGTTTAAAAATATAATGATAAGGGAACACGATTGTGATACTGATTATGTTTCTCACAAACATCTTCAAGCTATTTCTACATTGTTATTAACAAGTGTTGTCTTTATTTCTTCTTCTTTCCTTGTTTGCGCAGTGTGCATAATAACAATACACAGAATACTTATAAAAAGAAATAGGGAGAAAATATTATTCCAAGAAGACACTAGTTCTCATTGACCAGTCACCAGATGTCGCCACCAACCAATTTATCATTCCCCTTGCGGTGTGCTCTTCGACCCCCATGAAAAATCCTCTCGCCTTTTGACCTCCGCTTTCTTTCGTCCCTTCACGAGCAACCATATAACCGGTTGCTTGTCGTTAAGCTTTCCGTCTTCTTCGCGATAGTGTTTAGTTTGGCCCGCTTTCTTTTCGACCGGTTCTCCACGGAACCGTGGATTTCCTCGTGCCTTTTTTTAGTCTTTCGAACGTTCCTCTGTATGAAGGATTAGCAAAGCTGAAACGATGCGTCAAGAAAGAAGGCTGAGATTACGGTGGAAGGCTGTGGGATCAGTGGGATTCCCCAAAGCCGCTAATGTTCTCCTCGCCAGGCTGTTCTTTGTCGACAATAAACGCTCGGTGCATCGTTATCGTTCCTCCGCGCAATTAAGAGAAAATTTATGAGAACAGCAACGAAAGAAATACAACGAACGCGCACGAAGATTAGCTAATGTTAAGATAATAAGAGCGTCTAGACCTTTGTAGCGATACAGGTT